CTTCTGCGCCCACATACCTGAGACAATGTCTACGTGATTCTTGTATGTCAAGCATCTGTCGAAAAGTATCTCCATTGTGTCCGTTCTATCGATCTCTATATGGCACATGCCTGTGCTGGATTCCCTTATTAACTCTATAGTTCTCTGAAAATATGCTCCTCAGGCATTTAAAATCCTTTAACTGCTTTAACTGGTGTTAATCAGTTTGATATCTCATTTCATGGAGAATATCATCACTTCTGTTTTATCTACGTAGTTGCCACATTCTGAATCATCATCATCACGTGCCCTGCCAACTGGCATAGGCGCGCTCATGCATTTCCACAGATCACGATCCCTGGTTGACTGGAGTCTATTAATATGTTATTGTAGTTATACTGCTGCTAGTGTTATGATTGCCTGATCATTGGCGAATAGATAGGTATTCATTTAGTATTCCTCTGATGTTATCCCCTTTGCAGATGTTAGCTTATTTGCAATTTTGGTCGGTGTATGTGATGAAGATCAGTAGTGATAGAACTCACCCCTAGCTCAGTCGAGATCTATTCTAGAACTTTTTTAATATTTCTAACTGCGCTTTGACTGTTCATGTACAAACTCTTGCACAATTTGTAAACAGTTTTCGTTTACTCAGTAATCCTGCATTACCTTTCATATTATTTTAAAAAACACTCTGTTGGTCTACGAATGCGACTTATAATTATCTAGCGAATCTTCATGTTTGGAAAATGTCCGGCTTCATGAGGATTTGAACCCACAACCTTTGTAACTGTATGGGACTGTCTAGCCGCTACACCAGTAGAAAATAGAAATGATGTGAATTATAATTTTAAAAATATATTCTGGCTCAACAAGATTTACAATGAAGAACTAAGGAGGAAATCAACATGTTAATCACTTCCAACATCAAAGGAAGAAGATGGAGATGGCTTGGACATGTTTACAGAATGCAAAGCTCTCCGATTGGGATGAGGGAGGGGGACAGATGGAAAAGGAGACCTGTACAACCTAAAGAAACCTGGAGAAGGCCAGTGGAAAGTGAAATCAGCAAATGTAAAATGAGATGGGATCCCAGAGATTCTCCTCAGAGCGTAATGATATATTTGTGCCACCGCACTGTTCAGTTGCTCCCAAAGAGAACACCAACATGAAGAGAGTGTAAAATAATTTCATTACTCTCATCAGTCTACCTGGAAACTCTCTCTTAACAGCTCTCCCATCTCGTGCGCTTTAACACGGAAGCTGTCCTTTATATCCTGTTATATCACTAATAGGATATACTTGTAGTTAATTTTAAAATCTAACATCAGCTGGAATCTAACCAGAGCTTATGGACTCCAGTTATGACTTTTCTTCCAATACTCCATGCCAGATGGTGTTGGTCTTTTCTGTCCACAACCTGACTAGAAAACACAGTAAAATATAAACACACTCAGATACCAGCAAACATTTCAACATTGTTGCGCACGTAATAAATTCCTTGGCAGTTGGAAATTGAAAAGAGTAGCCTAACGGCACTGTCCGGGCAAAATTTTTAGTTAAAAATCTACCCAAAGTATTTCAGGAACCTCGCTCCGGTGCTTCAAAATCTGTGCTGAGCTTCTATGAACTCAAACTTGAGTTAGAAGAACAGAGCACTTCTGGGTTACTAACCATGTGCCATGATGTTGATCCACTGTTCAAACTTCAGACAGTAGGTCATAAACCGTTATGCCTCAAGAGGCTGCAAAACTGACACTTCTGGTTCGGTCCAATTCCCTACAAGTGTCACATTTCCAACGTGGCTATAGTTCCTTATTTGCAAAAAGAATAACAAACAGCACTGGTATCGTAGAGCCCACTAAGGATTTTGGGGAACCAGAATCGATTACATTTAAAGAGAGTTTCCTCATGGACAAATGGCTTTTTAAAATAGAAAATACAGTGTCAGAATTTCTCATTAACACTAGTGGATAGCTGGCAATGAGATTAGTAGGTCACTAAAATTTTTTTTTTAAATTGTAAAATAGATTAGGTCACTTCTCTGCTGCATTAATGTTACTGATGTTTACTTAACTTCCCATATTTTTAAATGGAAATTAATACTGTTTTGGCTAACAAATGGAATTGACGATGCTTAAGTATTTATCCTGTTAATTTCCCAAATACAGGTAACTGGCATTGTTTTTATATTTTTTAGAAGACTGAGGTGAAAGGCTTAATATAATAATTACAAACAGACAAGGACTTAACAAAATCAGGCTTTCAATATATAGAGCAAACAATAGTTAAAAAAAAAAAAAAAAAACCCAGCTGATTCAAAGACATCTACCAACATAAAAATGTACAAAAATCACCTTTTATAACTTTATTTGTCTCAAATGGGTACAAAGCTGGTAATGCAGGGAAATACTTATAGACAGTAAACACTGAACCAGTCTGTTTACTTAGATGACAGTGCACTCATATTTCTAGCTACCAAGAGATAATTCAGTCTAGATACACTACCAAATAACTATTAAGCCAGTTTAGGTGAAATAAATGATAATTAGAGACCATGTTAAACCTGGTAGAGTATAAAATGAATATCATAGGTTTGAAATGGTCAACCAGATACCATCCTCACAGACACTCTCCTACCCTGGTGGTTGTTATCTGTTCAGAGTGCTGCTCCTCTAACTCTTGATGTTACCCTCCCACTTCCTCACCTACTTTCAATCAAGAAAGATTACAAACTGATGCTTCTTCTTGCTCACTTTCTCTCTTGTACTGCTTCAGGTGCTGAAGGAGAGGTAAGGTTTTGCTTCTTGCTCTTCTGGCCACCTCAGCCATAGACTTCATGCTGCTGTAGAGTTTCTGATATTTTTCCATCTTGTTCTTCCTCATGCTCTATTCCTCCTCTGTTGGGGTATGTCTTGTATGGTATGGCTTCACAAGGCATTATCTCCTAAGTGGCAAACCATCTAATTAGCTGTCTATGTATGTAATTTAGAACTGGTTCCCTTATGAACTCATTTCTTATTTGATCTGATCTGGTCACCCCTGCAGCCCTTCTCAAACATTTCTATGGTTACTAATCTGTTTCTGGTTTGTTGTGAGTGACCGTGTCCAGCACTGGTAGCATAGGGTGGGAAGGAATATACAAATTGATTACAAATATCAACATCAGCTTCTTCAGCTGGCAGAAATTTTAGCCATTATATCAACTAATGACACTCAATAACACCACCAGAACTATCTAAAGCAGAAAAAAAAAACTTAATGTTTAGGAATTTAAAAATTGCAACAAAACTAACCAGTCAGATAGACATTACAACAAAATGGGATGGCCAGAAAGTATGATATTTAGCACTATACATGGATTCGTTTTATGTACGCAGGATTCTTCATATTTTAAATCTTATGATTAGGTTAAAAATATGCAACAAAGTTCCCACTTCATGCAAATGGATCATTTACTGCAGTCGTATATTCAATAAGTGAACTAAAGCTATCCTTTGCTTTTTGTTCTAATTACTATAAACATAAAATATGTTTCCATGGTTACAAAAGAGAATATATTCAATCCAATTTATCATTCAGAGCTATCTCCCCTGGTCAACTAGTCAAATTCAAATTAAATGTCCATGTGACAACTGCAACACTGCAAGCCAACTTTTCAAGGCCATCTTATTAACATAACCTTATAATGAAACTAATGCAACAAGGTGTCATTATGCTTCAAGAATTAACCCTAAAATATTTCTCATAAAATGTTCCTCTGATCTTTGGTCAGGATTTTCAGCTGAGTTTGCCTGCACATGGGTTAAATAATGCATAAAGCAATGAACACCTATAAAAATAGATTGATAAATAAATAGTTGTAATCAGAATAAAATCTATACCACTACAATGAATACAAAAGCTCAGACAACAGGCAATGGTCTCTATGTTTAAAGATATTAAAACTTTCAGTGAGATATTTTAATTTTATCATGACAGCCTATAGACGAGTTCTCTTTAATGAAACACTTGTTGCAGTATGCAAAAACATTAACAGGGTATATATACTTTTCTACAACAAGTGTGCTGTGGTAAAATACCAAAACCAATTTGATACTTTAAACAATCTCACAGAACCAGTCTGACTTTGGTGAAACAAAAATGGCCTTAGCATGATACTGATCTAGTTCTACTGTAGCACACTCTATTAAAAAATAAATAAACCTCATCTATATTAAATTGAAATTAAAAATGGATACTTTCTAAAGATGAAGGCATTTTCCTTTATCAGTGGACCAAAACTCCAATCTATACATAGCATGCTAACTGCTAGAGCAAACAAATTCTCATTTTAGCTAAAAAAAACTTATTGCAGACATTACCAATGGCTTTATTACACCAGTGGTAGCTTTATCAAGATAAATCCACCATATTAATAATCAGAGAATATATGAACAGGCAGTCATTAAAGCAGTTTTACGCTGAAGTGATGTTCAATAATTCAGCCTGAAAAATGTGTCTGACCTTAATTCAATACTTACTGGGACAAAAAAAAGCAAACACTGAAAAGAGTAATAGAATTGGTATAGCAGTAACTGATGTTGTGAGATTCTAATCTGACAGTACTACAGATTACTCATTAAAAAAAAAAAATGAGAAAACCATAAATGAGTTACATTTAAAGATGCTTAAGACAGCAGCACTCTCCGCTGAGAAAACCAAATTTCTTGACTGTTCTCTAATCAAATGTATAAAGTAAAAGAATACATTACAAAATGGTTGAGACAAAAAGAATATCCAATTATGTATTGCCTGAAACTGAGTTAAAATATGAATGCCTGTTTTTCAGCAAAAAAAAATACAAATTAGTATATGTGTGCATTTCATTTTAAAGACATAAAAGTTTAAACCGACTTTACAAGAAATTTGAATAAATAAGTGAACAAATTACAGCTATAACAGGGTAACATTAGTTCCACTTATTTCTCTGAACATTTTCATTTTTGGGAAAATCTGATTTGGCTGATTTCCCTGATCCATCAGCATTTCTCAGCAAGTTTCTTTTCTATGAATGTGAACAAAAGATCACTTGTGTTGCTGTGGCTGTATTCTTTCAGGATTTTCATGATGTCTTCTGTGGAAAGGAAACAAATTATTACAAATTATTGAAATGTCTTGAATATTTTTGTTCTGTGAAGACAGAATTAAATGTGTTGTAAATTGTCCTGCAAAGGGAACACAAATTTAAGTAGGTAAAAGACCCTTTTCCACGCCTTAAGGCGTTTAGGACATATAGGGCTAGACCTATATTCTTATAGACCAATCGGCACAAGATGGGTGATGTGGTCAGTATCACGCGGGCAACCTTCACTTTCCCGGGACTGCACCCGGTACCCACTCAAGGGTGGGTTAACTTGGGAGCCAAGGTCATTAAAAAAAAAAAGTCCGGCTCCGCCAGGAAGCAAACCCACAACCTTCCGATCCGCGACGAGCGTCTAGCCACCCGGCCACGGCGACTTTCTACAATTAAATGTGCTATATACATATTGAGAATGTTCAAATCTGAACAAAGCTGGCCTTTTTTTTTTTCAATAATGACCTTGGCCCCCAGGTCAACCCAGCCTTAAATGGCTACCAGGTAAAGTCCTGGGTGGCTGATGTGATGCTGATGACATCATCCATCAAGTGTCACTTGGTCTATAAAATATAGATCTAGCACTTTATGCCCACTACTTTACTTACATATCGAGAATGGAACAAAGTTCTTCTTCTTCTTCTTCTTCTTCTCTTCCACCTTGTACCTCATCGAAGTGTCGGGGGTAGATGCAATGTTCGTTGATGGGCTCTGTCAAGAGCACTATTAAGACTGATGTTCATTTCTGTAAGGCTGTTCCTAGTGCCATCATTCCATATTTTCCGAGGTCTTCCACTCGCTCTATACCCATTGTAATATTTTTGTGTGGCTCGCTGTGGCGAATAGTACCAGGGCATTCTTGTTGGGTGTCCAAACCACTTCATTTGTTGTTCTTTGATGACCTGTAAGACTGGCTTTATTCCTAGCATTTGTCTGATTTCATGATTTCGTATTCTGTCTTTCCTTGAACTCCTGCAGCTCTTCTAAGGCATTTCATCTCTGTTGTCACAATTTTAAGTATATTGGAGGATGTGTCCACGTTTGGCATTGATAGCATAGTGTTGGCCAAAAAATAATTCTGACAAGATTCACTTTAGTACTCCGAGGTATCTGCTTGTGTGTCAACAGGGGGTCTCTAGGTATGGATACACTATTCTATTACAGTGCCTATGTGATCCTGGTGAATTCACCCTGTCAGCTTTGTCATATAATAGCTCATTGCCCAGAGAAGCGACACCAGCCTATCGCCTACTCACTACCTGTACACCAGAATGCCCTAGGTAGAAAATCCATGATATACTATTGTCTAGACTCTTATCAAGCAATGCAAACCACTATAAGCAAAGTACCTCATTTTATATTTTCCAAAGCCTGCTCTATGAATCTGTTACCTTTACAACTAAAATATGTCATGTCTCAACATTCTCCAGCCATTGGAAAGCTGGTTGCTGACCAACTCTTTTGTCATGCTTAATGTGGAGAATTGTTCAACTGTAGCTTTCTGAGTACCTTCTAAACCAAGCTACTCCTTATGTGCTGAAGGATGAATCCACACATCATATACTCTTCTTAAGTGCATGACTCAGTAATATATGTTGGTTAGAAGAAATTAAAATAATTTTTGGGACAAGATTAGGCTCAGCAGAAAATGTATAGAATAAAAGACGTAATAATTAAAGCAGTGATAAATGGAGAAGTTCATGACGATAAATGTTGATTAAATTCAGTTTTATATCCATCTGCCATCATCCTCATAATCAGACACTGGTCTCCGTGTATCACTTCTCATACTTTGGCAATGAGTTCACCATTACAAACAGAAACTGGACATCCTGGCCATTTTAATCTTTAACTGTTTCCATACCAGTTTTAAATCAAGAATACCCACTGAATATTTGTGCTTGAGATATTTAGTTCGATACCAATATTTCAGCATGTGTTACCTGTAAAACTGTATCCAAACGCTTTTCTCAGCTCTGTGAGCTTCAAGAAGATGTTATATTATTACTCTATTCCTAACTATTATTAAACCACACTCGGAAGGCACTGCAGGGATCAAATTCCCACACAGAAGTAAGGGAACTGATAGATCAGCATTCAGACCCAGAAGATACCATCATCTACACAGATGGATCCGTGAAGCGTGGATCAAGGTCAGCATGGGCATACACAGCACAAAGAAAGGGGAAAACAATACATGAGGACAGCGGCGCTTACCAGACAACCACGTCAAGCATGACAATGGAAATAGCCGCTGATTCTAGAGCTTTAGCATGGGTATCCGAGCAAACCACCACACAGGTAGTAATTGTCTCAGACTCAATGAATATGCTTCAGAAGATAGCAACAGGCAGTATGCGCTCTGAATGGATAGAAAGCATTCGGAAATCACACTTAACCTCCGTAACCTGGATCTACACACCGGGTGATGCGGGCGTAAAGGGAAATGAGCGAGCAGAGCAACTGGCAAGCACTGCACTAATGATTGCGGGAAAAAGTATGGACAGAGCAGATATAGTCAACGCTGTACGAACTGGGCTAGTGGAGAATGAGGAATCCCTGACACTAACACAATTGCGTGACATGGGAGTTAAGCATGGTGATGCACGTCTTTGCCGTCTTCGAGGCTGAGAAAGGAGACAATATAATCAGCTTCTTATGGGGACAATTAGTAGAAGTACTTTGGAGTGGCTGCTGCTTCGGAGAACTGAGCATGCATGGGTATGCCCAATGTGCAGTGACATCAATTGTGATAACAAAACATAAAATAACATCTTGTAGGGAATCGGCAGTCGGAAACCCAAGTTCAAGGTGTCTCCTTCGTGCCAAAGAACTGCATGGCTGTTGGGTGAACAGTCAACGATGGCAGGCAGGTCGTTGTTGATGCCTGCTGGTGGATGTAATGTCCTAAGTCCCTTCCCCAGCTAATAATGAGGGTACTGCTGGGGTGACCGTTTATTAACCCTCATATAATGCTTCCGGTCAAAATGGACGCCATGGCAAATTTTTTTTTCTTCTGCATTTTTGCTCCATTTGTAGTCTGGAAGGATGTAGTTTCGTCGCCCAGCTTCTGAGTTGAGTGCATGGCGTGACACTGTGAGCTGTGTTTGTTTTTCGTTGGCATAGGAGCGGAGCAACTGTGGGGTGACCCGTTTGCTATGAAGCTGAAACTAGGATTACCAGATTAAATCTATTTCCGTCTGAGTAATTATGCAAAATTCTTTAGACTACCCCCTCCCTCCCCCCCCCCCCCAAAAAAAACCCAAAAAAATCGCCCACACTAGACAGCTGGCTACTTTTAAGGTTCTTAATATAACATATGACTGAAGTTTCTAGGATCTGCTTCTGTTGAATCTGAATCAGAATGGTAGCTTTTGAAGTCAGTGGGCATCATTCATTCAGGTGACAATCTGACAGGGAGATAAAAATAGGGGAAATATTCTGTTAGTTTAAAATAACACTTGCTTGAACAGGATGGGTGAAACAAGAGCTGTTTGGTCCTAAAAGAGTTAAACACACGCGGGCACATTTCAGAATAACCTAATATATAAAGTTCTTGAAAAATACAGAACTGTATTCACTTACTGATGCAGATATCTCTGGCCTTCAGAATGTCATAGATATGGCCAATTTGCAGACAAAGTTCAGTGTCACCAAAGGTCAAGTAGCAGATGTCCCGGTTGGCTACACTGGCTGCCATCAACTGGATTAGAGCTAAACAATGGACAAGAAGTTGTGAAGAATATATTATTGAAAAAAATTTTATTTCAGAACACTTACAGCTGGGGAACACTAAGAAAGAGAAGACGTACAAAATATGCAGAAAATGTACTAAACATTCTTTAATCACAACACACCCAGTTAAGATTCATCAATGAAGTGTCATTGCATAAATAACTAGTCCTGAATCGCCAAAAGCAAATTAAAGCTCTTTTGCTGCTCAGCTCAAGCAGCGACACCAGGATTCATCACCTGCCACTGTATGGAGGAGAAATACATCTCTCAACTTTAATGCAGCAAGTGGTTCAAACACCATCCTATGGGTTTCTTGTTTTGGTGGTCGCTATCCATTGTCAACATACCTTCGGATACTGAAGTTTTTTTTAAAATAACCTCTGGAAAAATCTCAGCTGACATAAAATTATGTTTCTATATTGTTGCATTAATTGTGGTGATTGCTTTTTTTCTTTCTTTAGACAATATACACTTTATCTTGCTGTAAAAGATCAGTCATGAACTTATATCCCTTCAGAAACAGTTGTGTCAAGTCTGTCACTGCTATTTTCAACACTCATTTGTTACTGTACTGTCTGTATTCTTTGATGAATGTTCCTAGGTCAACATGCTTCAAATGAAAAACTGAATCAACACTCTGAACTTCTTTGTATGGACTGTCAACCTGGCCACTTTCTCAGCTGTCAGAAACAGACCATATAAGCCTATGCTCTTGTATTCATTGGTCAGTACTTATTACATTACACGACCATGCTCATCGCACACAATTGCGCCTGGTGTGGCATGATCGGGTATGACATCAGAGGCAGCTAAGGATAACTAGTTATCTCATTCTGTAGAAAACTATAATGCAACCAATCATTAACAAGTCCGTTAAGATCGTTGCCTGAGTTGGCTATGGGCTTATACTCCATCACAAGAAAACAGGCAAAGTAACTTTGCATTTGTCATCTGTAAACTCTGTGGAACATTCTGGTTGTTCATCCACATCTGGACTTTCATCTTATTTAAGAACCTCAGATTTTCATGCAAATCTGGCTTATTTGTATGTTATTTCCTCGCCTGACAGACAGATGTACTCTGACTGAAGGAGACAACCCTGATTTATTGACTCTTACAAGTTTGCTTACAACATGCTTGCTTACAACAACAAGCTTGCTTACAACAACAAGCTTGCTTACAACAACAAACTTGCTTACAACAACAAACTTGCTTACAACAACAAGCTTGCTTACAACATGCTTGCAAGGGGGCAGTGGGTCTGTTCATGTTTCCTCATAATGGGGCCCTGGGACACACACGGGGGAAAGGTAACTACCTAGGACATGCACACTTAAGGTTACCCTTGAGCTGCTTGTCTCCTCCGAAGGCTCCACATCCCCAGTTGCCAGTACAAACAGCTGGCTTGTTTCTGGTACCTTTTGACTCGAATGCAATGTATGCCTAGTCCAGAGCAAATTTTCAAATTTTAAGTTACTAATGTCTGTTTCAGACAGATTTTGTAAGAAGAATCAGAACCAAAAATGAAATGGTTCAGACACCTAGTAAGAACGAATTCAACTATACCAACATCAAACATGTACAATATGTCAATGGAAACACCAACAGGCAGAGGGAGCCTAGAAGATAGATCAATCAAGTGAGTCACTGACTGCCAAAAAAAGGAAGGTGACATGACAAAAGGAGGTGAACGGACAGGAAGGTGAAGTGACAGACAAAAGGAAGTTTAAATGACGATCTGGTCTTACTGTGGGTTTTCATTCACTGATGTGTATTCAACAAATGCATGTCACGTGTGACATCCTAGTCCAAGTGACGTGAGGAAAACACTGTTGCTATGCAAATAAATGTTGGTACGACTTAAAATACGACTGTACCCTGTGAATTACTGTTTTCATATGCTGCTGAAGTTGGGGATGGAGCAGTTATGGTAATGTCCTTAGTTCTGTGATGCCGGTTCTTAACTCAGTTCCAAATGTTGAGACCTTACCATTTTTCCAGATTAATGTTTTATAAGAAGGCATGAGAATCACAACCCATAGGGATCTCTCCTTAGCACAAAGCCTGGATAGTATTGTACAGACCATTTGTTGACCATGCATGCTTTGTTAATTTCAAAGAAAATGTAACACAAATACACTCTGTACACTTCTGATGGCTGTCTTATGCTTTTAATGCATGTGTATGCTAGCGGATATGCCGAGACTGCATTGGTGACAGTGATGGCCATTCTGTGTGTTTATTGTTGGCACAGGAGTGGAGCAACCATGGGGTGATCCGTTTGCTATGAAGCTAAAACTAAGATTACCAAGTACAAAGCATGTTGTAGAAGAACAGGGTTCTGCATGTTGCACTTCCTTCCTAGACCAGCTGCCAATCAGGGCTAAGGTTCTCTCCTCTCCTTTATAAAGTGAACTAACAACAACAGCTTAGTACTGAAAAAGTTAATATACTGGTGTTGTTAATCTATATTTACCTTGTTAAGTTCCCTTTGTACATGATGCAGTTCAAACTGATGATAGTAATTTTCCCGAAAGACAGCTGCATCCATGGCCACAACTTCTGTGAATCTCCTCCCCATATGATCCCTGCAATGCATCATGATGTCTGAACATATCAAAATTCATCACAATAATTATGCCTTGTGCCGATCAGCATAGGCTGTCTGTCAGGTCTTGCCATCTCACATGATCACCAGAATCACAGATCAGTTCAGTGTTCTCTGGCTACCCCATCCACATGTCTAAGCCATCCAGGTATCTATTTTTGATTTCCCCCTGCTCTATGTTTTTCCTCCAGTCTTGCCAGAGTCATCACCAAGTTCTCACACCCTTCCTTCTTATAACAGGCCCTAAAAACACTGACTCAACTAATCTTTCTAATAAGTTTAAGGTTTTCATTCATCTCAAGAAGGACTGCCCTACCATTTTGTGATATTCTGTTTTCTTTAAAACAAAAATACACACATCACTGCGAGTAAATTTTTCCGCTTGTCTGCTAATTTTCCATGTCTCACATGCATATAACAATACTGGTTCAAATTATATAGTAAAACAGAAATGCTAAAAAATATGTTACCAGTCAATGATATCAATTTCAAAGAGAAAGATTTCTGGGCACTGTGTTCAGGACATTTTTCTAGAAAGAAAAAAAGATGGCTACCACTTTTTCTTCAAAAAATATTTTATCATCCCATCATACCGTGATAATCACATGCAATCCAGCCAGTGAAATCCTGATATCATGGATAGAATCCAGGCCAGCACCTTTGGCTTTTTCAGGAACATTCATTTTAGGGTTTCTCTCGGACATCCTAGTTTCCTCAATCCGTCTGTTTCCCATTTCAGTTGCGGTTTGACAATTCTCTGCTTGCTTCTCAGGATGTGCCCAATATATCACCATCTTATCTGTTGCAACCATTGACTGTTGAGACATTTATCTTATTGCTTCTTTCTTTTTCCTTAATTTATCCCATTTTATATTCAATTACCTCAGGCATTTGATTTAGAATGCATACACATTTTATTTTCCTGTCCTAAATGGTTCTACATTTGTATCTTATTAACTCAGGTTGAACAAACAAGACACTTGTATACAGTCCACATAATTCTTTGCCATGTGCTATTACATCATTTCTAGCACTTAATTTTCTTTGTGTAATACATTTTTTATTCTCAAAACTTTTAATGCAAAAGTTTTAATATTGAGCTGAAATGTATACAATAATAAGTTTTATGAGTCCCAGGGGGTTTAGCATCACAGGCCCTGGGGGTAGTAAATAGAGATATAAAATCGGTGCATCATGGGTTCATTAGGCTTCTAGGTAGGTACCTATGAACGTATGATGCGTTCCTTGGAAAGAGTTAAACAAAAAAGGAACATGATATATACACCCAGAAATAAAAGGCCTGCCATTCTTTATATGAAATATAACATGCAGATGTATACACAGAAGATAAGATCAAAAATAAATGATCAATCTTTACCTTTAAGAACAAGTGGTATTTAGCTTTTTCAATAAAATATGTCTTTAAAAAAACAACGGCCTCTCAAAAAAAAATATTACTGCAGGGCTCAGTAGAGGGAGAAAGGAGATGAGGCAGACCAGGAAAGACCTGGTTACAGAACCTGACTGACTGGACAGGCCTCAGGCATGCAACCATGAAGCCCATCGCAACTGACCGCCAAAGGTGGAGAGCGATGATCAGACAACAGGAACTGGTGACAATGACATGTAGTGAGGAGTGATGACGATGATGATGATGAATAAAATATGACGTCTAGGAAAGATATTGAAATATTCAAAACAATGTTTTTTATGTTGTAAATTTAAATAATGCGGACACAATACACTGCACTATTTATTGCCTGGCATATTTTACTGCGTCAGTTCAGGTGCATTACTACAAAGTTAAATTTTATTACAATAAAGCATACAGCTGTGAATCCTGGACAATTAATAAACAAGCCGAACAATACCTTAAGGCCTGCGAGATGTGCTTTACATAAGAATCCTTAGAATTCCTTGGACAGCAAAAAAGAGCAAGCTAGATGTTTTCAAAGAGGCAGATGCCTTTCACAAACATCAGAAAGAAACTGTCCAGCATCTGCTCTCTCTCTTATGTGGGCAATCAGTTCTCTTCGTGAGTAATAAAGTACACCAAAAATAATTCCTCTTGCTGAAATATGCCAGGCATTAAACTATGGAATGTATTGTTTATGTCCACATTATTCAAATACTACTACTATCAGGTTTATAAAATGAAGCCTGAGAATCGATTTTTAGAAATAAATGACTAAATAGATTGACAATGAGAATCATTATTAAAATTATGTCAAGCTAATAGGCATGAGTTAACTGTTTAACTTCAAAGATCTTCTTCATGTTCACTGACAGTAATCTCCAGCAGAAAGTTCTGATTGCTCATCATGCACAATGTGGGCCCTGTTCCAAGACATACAAGCTCCGACAATTTAGTAATGAGACAAAAACGCCATCTATGAAGCAAAGCATGGAATCTAAAGAGGCAACATTCATCTATGATCTGGCAACTTTTTATCGCTGCTCAAAGGTGCAGTGTTTCATAATCAGCAGAGAAAAAAAGCTAACATTAAATTTTTGTTTAACTCAGAAAAAGCGCCATTGAAACAGTTGAATTGATGCTACAAGTTTATGGGGATAATTGTTTATCTCGTGCACACATTTTCTGGTGGTATTCACGATTCAAAAGTGGTGTGGAAATGATTACTAATGCACCTAGACCTGGATCCCAAATTTCTGATCATAATGATGAACTCATTGCAAAAGTCAGAGAATGGATGCAAGAAGATCATTGTTTTACTGTGAGGATGATGGCAGATGAATCTGGTGTTAATAGAGAGACCAATCATAACATTTTAGTGCAAGATTTTGGCAAGAAAAAATTTGCTTGCCGGTTTGTGCCACATTCGTTGTCCGATGACCCAAAAAAAATCAGCGGGTTGAGTACCCAAGAGACATCATCAAAACAATAATTTTTGGCCAAAAACAAAGTGTGTGTTCTCTCAGCCTTCCCCAATATTTCCCAGATTTGTCTCCCTGTGATTATTTTCTATTCCCAAAATTAAAGTTACCATTGAAAAAACACTTCTTTGACAATATTGATGACATCCAAAGGGCCGTGACATTGACTTTAAGGGCCATAACAACAGAAGAACACCAGAGGTTGTTCCAGTGTTTGTTAGATGGTGCCACTTGCTGTATCAATGCACAAGGGGCTTACTTTGAAAAAAAGTACAGGTTATATCTTCAACTGTTGATTAATTAAATTTTTATGGAATTAGTCACATTGCTTAATTGTCAGATCTTGTATGTTGAGTGCACATCCCTTTTACAGATGTGGCATATATGTGTGTAGATTGTTGGTGCCTTGCCTAACTACATGGGCCAGCCTCCCAGCTAGGAGCCAGTTCCTGGGATGGCCTCAAAAAAAGTTTAGATAGGTCTCGCACTACTGAATTAGAAGTTTAAAAATTAAAACAACAAAAGAAAATAACCTTTCTGTGTTGTCGAAATAGTTCCCCGTGAACTTAAATGTGTCAGAATATCCAGAGTAACTGTTGAAGCGTTCACAACCTAGCATTAAAAAAAAATTTAAAGAGGGTTTCAATGTAATTATAATTGGTGCATGCTTAAAGTGCTATTATATTTCATAGGAAAATGGCATGTCACATCATGTGCCCTGCCGACTGTCGTAGGCATTTATGCATCTCCACAGATCTCGGTCCCTTGCCCTCTCTGGATCATTTCTACTGATGATATTCCTCCATGCTACTGTCACAATCCATCCATCATCTCTCTCGGTCTGCCTCTTCTAAGACGATCTTCCCAGTCACATTCTCCAGAGCCTCCCCCCCCCCCCATCTCTTGAAAGAACTCTGTTACTCTGGTAGTCTAAGGGATTCTCAATATTAGTCGGAGAAACCAAATCTCGGTCACCTCAATGTTTGTTCTGATTTGTACATTCATTACCATACAGCAATATAGGTTCTACATAACATTTTAGTACTCTCTTTCAGACATCCAAAGACCTGTTGCACAAGATGTTCATTCTGTGAACTGCAGCCTTAGCCTTACTTAGTCTGGCTTATTCTGTTCTTAATTTCTGATTCACATCTTCCGTCTGATGTTATGATTATACCCAAATAATTGAATTTATCAACTTGGATCAACTTTTTACCTTCTGTTCTAATATTACACTGTGGTGGTATTCTTTTCTTTGATATAACCATCACCTCTGTTTTCTTTATATCCAAGGACAGACCCTTTTTTGCTCTCCCTCATTACAACGTCCAATAATTGTTGTAGCCCATTTGCATCTGATGTCAGTAAATTGTAGATAATTAAATTAGGCAATAAACAAACATGAGAAGTACACACGTAGAATCATCAAATATGTAGCCACTATAACAAGTGAGAAATTTTCACTAGCCATTTATGTAGCAACTATCAAACAGGGAATTGTACACTAGAATCATTTAATGTAAAAACTATCAAACAAGAGAAATGCACACTAAATCCATTAAATATAGCTATCATCATATTTGAGAAATATTTACCAGTTATTTTATGTAGCAGCCATCAAACAGAATAGTAAACTTGATTAATATACTGTAGAAACTATCAAATATGAGAAATGCATACTAAAATCTTTAAATGTAGCCACTATGACATATGAGAAATTCACACTAATATCAAATATAGCCACAAAGACATATGAGAAATTTACACTAGTTATTTTATGTAGCAACCATCAAACAGAACAGTACACTTGATTAATATACTGTAGAAACTATCAAATATGAAAAATGCACACTAAAATCATTAAATAAAGCTATCATGACATATGAGAAATGTACAATGGACACATTAAACACAAGCCAAACAATACTTTGAGGCCTGGGAGATGTGGTTTTACATAAGAATCCTTAAAATTCCTTGGACAACTAAAAAGAGCAACCCAGATGTTTTGAAAAGATGCAAGGGCTTGAAGACAACTTATCACAAACATTAGAAAGATACATAATTTTTCAGTCAGGTTATGAGAAGAGGAAACTGAAAATGTTGTGACCACTAGAAAAATCTGAAAAGAGGCAGGTGCTCAAAGACAACTTTTCACAAACATCAGAAAGAGACAAGTCTTCATTTCTTGGTCATGTTATGAGAAGAGGTAAACTGGAACTTGAGATCACTGGACGCAGTTGCGGATTGTGGAAAAGCATGAACGCCTACCATGCCAGTCAGCAAGGCACTTAATAATGATGAATAACCAATAAAGATATAACAGTCTAAAGTTGAGTGACAGCTTTACTGGACCAGGTTTTATCCCATTTGGCTTGGTTTCTCTGCAAAAAGCATCACACAAAGCACAAGCCCTGTAGCTCTAGTGATGATCCCCAAGAACATAAAACTGTTTATTGCGAACAAATGAAATCTGTGAAACTAATACAAGAGCATGAAGTAAAAACAAGAGACATCCAGTCAGTAAAAAATATGAGTGGTTTGTACAAAAGAAGCTGAACTCTTTCTGTCCCAAACAATGCACTATTTATGATGGTCATTATTATTCATGTGTACACGTCAACAATTATGTACATTTCTACATCGTATGTTCCCCGTGTGGCTTCCCGAACCTAACTGTGGGGGAAAACAAGAATAGACCCACTACCTTCCCAACAAGCATGTCGTAAGAGTTAACTAATTGGAGGTTTCCTTCAAAGGTGAAGTGCATCTGCCTGAGAAGAAAAGAACCAACAATCTGCATCCAACTAAGTCAGATCTGTAAAATAGATGTGCACACAACACTCAGGTTGTGAAACAAAACTAATGTCAAGATGTAGACTAACAACCAGAACTTTGCACCTGAGTTCACAGCTGGTGAACTCGAAGAAGAAGAAGGAGAAATCTTATGAGCAGTGAACGACTTTGAAGAACTTTGCTAAAAACATATGTCCTGCAAGGGTTGTATATTTAGCCCCCCGGGAAGTAGTATACCTATAAGTTCAAGTTTTGCCAATTGTAGAACCTTGTGGGGCTGAAAAAGTTCCAAGCAAACTGAAGAATTGTCAACCTTACCTATCATGACTAGAACCTCATCGCTTGCTAATACTTCTGTAAACAAACGTGACACGATCATTTCAGGGCACAGCACAAAGCGAATCTCTTCCTGAACAAGTCCAGCAGTCAACACACCTCCACCAACAAACTTGTTTGCAAAATCAGCCTGTGAAATCAAACGGTTCAATTACTAATTTCTGTATTCAGTTCCAGGTAAGAGCTTTAAAATATTACACAATGATGGAAGTACCAAGCGATATTTAAAAAAAAAAAAATAGCTAACTATCATAAATGGAAATCATACTAATTTTGAATTAATGAAATCAGGTACTGAAACCCTGTGTGGGTTCTGGGGTCCCAGTTTGGAGTTTGTTTGGGGAACGGGGGAAGATCAATCCACTGTCCCTTAACAAGCATGCCGTAAAAAGTGACTAAGGGTTAGCTGAAACTGGATCTTTGGGGTCAAAAGGAGCAAAAATTACGGCCTAAAATGTCAGCCATAACATTTACCAAACATACTTTTTTCCTAAGGGCAAATAAGGTAGAAAAAGGTACTGAATTTCAGTTTAGTCAGACCTATTTATGTGCAATTTCTTGACTTCCTACCTGCAAAAATCCTCTTGCGTCTTCAATGGTGCCTTCACTGGAAACATGTAAGTTAGAAAGTTTCTTCTCATTCGTCTGCCAGACCACTGGGTGGCTGTACACACGTTTGTAAGTCACATTACCATCAGGCACTAACAGATAAAGAAAACCATATGTTTTTAATTAGTGGCCACCTTCTTAGGGCTACTTTTATTGAAGAAAATACTGAGTCTACTTTCCTTTCTTTCTCTCTCTCGTTGTACCCCACCAGGATATCACACAAGCGATAAACACCCAGTGAAAAGTGGCACTATGGTGATGAGGATCACCCATGGAGAGGTCCCAGAAACTCCTTTCAGACGTTTAGGCGATATTTATGGCCCGGCTATATTTAGGGCCTCCGGAAAATGCCAGGGTGGGGCTTCAAATAACGAAAAATTTCATTCCACATGGGAACGACTAGATAATATATTATTAAATCTAAATTCCTTTCCAGAAATCTCTGGCTGTCTACTTTAGACTTTAGATTGTATTAGAGGTAACAAAATTACATTAAACATTTTCAATGCAGACAATATAAATACAACACACCACTGTGGGCTTAACTTTCACAGCTTGCCGGTCAACTAGTAGAAGATCAACGCTTTGGCCATCCGTGTTACAGGATAATACAATTCCCTGTATGGGCTCTAAAGCCTCATAGAAGAACAGTCCCAATACATCTTAACAAACATGTAAAAGCATCTTGTAAAGGCGACTAATTAGAGGTTTGCTGAAATCAAGATGTTTTGGGTTGAAGGGCCAGATATTACTTAGATATAATACCACTTAGAGGGATCTTCTTGTGAACCAAATTTTTTTTTAAAATCCACAGTAATGTCACATTTTTCCATAGCCACAGTGACAGGTCATGGGGTCCAAGGTATGAGTCCCCCATATATATATTTTTAGGCCCCTGGGAATGTATTCCATTTAATGCTACACTGTGCTTCATTACTCTCCTTACATTTCTCTATCTATTAAAAAAAATGTGGACAATTTTCAACAACAGGGAAAAAAAAAAATAGTACCCTGCACAAAGATTGGGGGAGGGGGGGGGGGGTGTTGGTCCTAAAGATTCATGGCCCATTTTGTTAGCATGTACAGGACAAAAGGTTTAAAACTAAACATATAGTTAATGTTTCTTACTCTCTTGTGTCACCCTCTCAAAATAGTTGATAATGCATTTCAGCTTTTCAACTTTCCTTTCACTTTTCACTTGACTGTACAGACTGAAATACAGCAAATAAAATTCCACAATGAATAAGCAAAACATCAGTACAATCAACACTTGTACCATTACTGAAAGCAATGAAAGATAACATTGCACCCTTACATACATGTAACAGACAACTAAGAAGGGTTAATCTGTAATTGACTTTGCCTGCCTTTAGTGACTTTCATCTATGCAAATTCTTAGAGCTGTTATTTAACATTATATAACATATAAGCACACACGTTAATTAGCTAACAGATTATCCTCATTGTACATCAAACCCCTTAGTCCAAAATGCTTGGATCTCCAAGCAGCTCATGACACCAGTTCTGTGTCTGGTTTCTTATTCTTCTCCAGCTTCCTGCATAGTGCTCTTGTCTGGCCACACCCTTTTAACATGTTGTTCTTGCAGTCTGGTCATTGTTGCAGATTCACAGTCCTCACTTGGTTCGCACAAAAGTCTTCTCGTTTTAAACACAAATTCTTTATTTTATGTTTATTGGAATTCTGATTAATGAGATTTTACTGTTTTAGTTTTTATGCAACTACATAATTTTCATCTGCCACTGTCAAATGTTTAAAATTTTTCTTGAAACAAGCAATTAGTACTAGGTAACTTTGGCAGAGCGCCAAAGATATATTCTCCATGCCTTACAGGCAAGGCAACTACATGATGAGTTGGTTAACTGATATCTGCTGGCAGTTCCAAGCAATGTGTGATGTGGTGTGTGTGTGTGTATGTGTGTGTATGTGTGAGTGGGTCGGGGGGGAGGGGGGGGGGGTTACATTTTTAATATTGGATATTTATATTTGAACAATACTTCTGAATGACTGATGTTCAACCCCACCAGGGCATCACACTAAGCGACAAACATCCAGTGGCACAACAACAACAACAACAACAAAACTGCATCCACACTGGAACGCATTGCACTACATGAAACAGGACTCAACTACAAGTGGAATGATTTCAGAAATTAACACAGCACAAAGAATTATTTGAAAGATCAATAGAGAAAAAGGCAAAACTGCACAAATACAAGTTTCAATCAGAATCTTTATCAACAAACAGACTAAATACACAAGTATGAAAACAAGAAAAAACACAAAAAAGTATTAAAACTTTTATTTGGTTATATTTGCACACCTTCTGCTATCCCTCATAGTTCTAATCATAGTCTGTGTTTTGTTTCTTGAAAATCAGCTTGACTGCTCAAGCTTTTTTATGACAGGACTAATTCAGAGCTCTTCCTTGCCTTTGAAAGCTCAGAAACCTACAGAGTAGTGTCAAAGCTTTAAATTTGCTGGAAGGCATGTGTGAAAAATAAAGGGATTGAGGAAGTCAGGATGTCCTAAAGAAACCCTAAATCTGACGTCGATGAGAGCCTAAAGGGGATATTAAATGGACTGCAGAGTACATAATGGAATGGAGAAAAAATGGACTGCACAAGACATAATGGAATGGAGGAATAATAGAGTCCTGTGGGACATAAAATGGCACACCAGGACAATGGTGATGACCACATCAGTGACTGGGTCACCCATTGGCTTGCCGGCAGACAACTTCAGCGCCGGGCAGGATAGTATTTGGGGCTGTCTCCCTTGATTGCATCAACACCACAGGAGCTCTTTTCTGGGCTTTTGGTGGCGTGCAGTGCTAAGTCATTTTTATGGTGCACATATGATGACGTTTGAAATAGGGTGTTTCTGTTGGGATGACTGACTGAACTGTGCAGAGTTATAAATAATTTTACTCTTTCTCTAAAGGGCGGCTAATCAAACAAAGAACAAACTATATCTCCAGCATTGACTTTCAAGAATATCTAAAGCACTTAAGAAGCTGAGAGCAAAGTCTAATACTAAGACTGAACTCACTAAATAGGTACCAGGGCCCCATCACTTTTTAGAATGGGGGAAGGGGGGGGGGGGGAAGAGACCCACTGCCATTAACAAGCATGTCATAAAAGGCAATTGATTAAAGTTTTGCAGAAATCGGATGTGATGGGTTGAAAAGCGCAGACATCGAAGCCTTGCCATAAACCAAATCATGACATAGCAACTAACTATTGAAGGCAAAGACAGAAGTAGAGAACCTATGAATTCCTTAAGAACGATTCCTGAAACTGAACCCATAACCATCAGAGCATGAGGCAAACAGTTTAATCACACTGCCAGAGGCTCAAAAAATGTCATGCTGTAAAAACAATATTACAATTTAAAAAACCACATACAGACAAGCTAGATTCTGTGTCGGTTCTCAGGTCCTATTTTTGGAGATGAAAAATGTGGAAAAGACCCACTGCTCCTTAAAAAAAAAAAAGTTTTATAGTTTCTCATGTGGGCAAGAGTGGTTGTTGAAGTACTCTCCCCTTTGTTATAGTTGTGTAGTCAGTTCATATGGAGATAGGCCTCGGTCAAAACGATTTGTGTTTTTTGTGCAAGTTGTCCTGCTTTCCCATTTTGTAGGCTTTTTAGTCACAGTTCACTGGATTAATTTCCTATTCTGAAAAAAATATGCTGTAATGGGTAACTAATAGGGATTTGCTGAAATTAGATGGGCTAGTCCGAAGGGTGATATCACAGCTTAGCTGTAAACCCAATACAAAATGCCAAACACCCTTCTAAGGGTGAAAACAGAAGACTGGCTGGAATTAGACCTAGGGTTGGTAATATTTTCTCCTCATGTTTTGAGTGTTACACTGTCAAGAGATTCCAACTCAATATCCAGAGCAGTAGTTCTCAACCTTTCTAATGCCGCGACCCTTTAATACAGCTCCTCATGTTGTGTCAACCCCCAACTATAAAATTATTTTCATTGCCACTTCATAACTTCAGTGAATAAGTTTTTTCCAATGGTCTTAGGTAACCTCTGTGAAAGTGTCATTTGACCTTCAAAAGGTGTCGTCACCCACAGGTTGAGAACAGCTGGTCTATAGGGAATTTCAACACTATAATTTACTAAAAACCCTATTTTCTCTATATGCCTGGTCTAACTTCCATGCCAATGACAGGGATAATCTGTATATTTCGCCGGCATGTAATCAACACAAATTCGAATCTTTACTGGTCGTAGTTGGCTAAACAGGATTGCGCGGTGAGCGGGTGATGAACTCTATGTGGTCCGGGTTCACTCACGGGGGTAGGCAGAAAAGCCACATTTCTCCCAGATTTACAGTATTTACAATGGAATCAAGGCCGAAAGGTTGCGATATCCATAATACCGAGCCTAAGGGTTAACAACTCATGGCTTCTGGATATTAATAAAAAAAATAAATCTTTACTGCAATGTGATTAGCACATACTCTAATCCATACTGGCATAAGTTCAGCACATATTCTAAGTCTTATAGACATGTGATAAACACAACTCTTGCTGGCATGTGATCAGCACATACCATAATCCATACTAGCATGTGATAAGCACATGTTCTAACCCTTACTGGCATGTGATAGAAGTAGATACTATAAACCTTGCTGGCAGGAGAATAACTGTAACTAACTAAAAATAAAGACTCCCCTTCCTCCACACCCACAACCCGTTGACACAATAAAGTTTAGAAACAGATTTTCTTCAACTACTGTTCTGTATTGTAGGTCAAAAGTATGAACTCATAGGGAAACAACCTACCTGATGAAGTTGAACTCTGGCATCTGTAGCGGCCTTCCTTCCTTTTGATTATGCTGTCGTTGAGGAAATGTGTTGAAAAAGGCATTCGCTAAAAGACAAGCAGCTTGATGCTGACTCAGAGTGATTTCTTTGTTAACTCGCTGCTTCAAAATAGGCAGAGGCTAGAAAAGATTCACAAGCACAAATGTGAAAACTTTAACAGCACAACCTCCTACACATACACTCGCAAGCACAAGTTCAAAGGTGAGAGGATAAAATCATCATGTCTTTTTCAGTATTCCAAACCCTGAAATTTCATTAAGATGTCACTTTCCTCCATCTCTGAGTTACAGATAACTTTCATGACTGTCAGGGTCCTGTGTTGCTAAATATGTGTGTGTGTGTGTGTGTGCGTGCGTGCGTGCGTGCGCGCGTGTGTGTGATGATAATAGTGACTGATCAACTAATTCTAAGTGACCACAAGTTCACAGTACACACACACACCCACAACAGTCACTGGAAAGTGAGATGGTCTGGGTGGATGCTAGACAAGTTTTTCACACCTGTATGGCCCTCCGCCCCCTTTTCAGCTGTGGGGATGGAATCATGTGCCATCGTGAAAAGCATAGTCAGATCATCATTCCCTGTCCTACAAGATCAGTAGAATCCAGCATCAGCTGGTGTTCTTGTCCTGCCCCTTGCATGCGGCAAGCAATCATGGCGTTTATCTCTCTGCCTTCCCCCATCCTCTCTCAACATTTTGCTAGCTGTCACCAAGTTCTCAAGTCTATTCCTAGCCTTGAAATACACTTCATGTAAAAAAATAACAAAAAAATAATTTTGTTTTGTAACAGATGAGGTTGCATGGGTTTCTTGTAGCCTTCGTTAAGCTTTGCTTTTCCATTTCTGGGGATCCACTGCAGGATAAGTTCACTGCTGGACTAGTTCTTTTCTCTTTTCTCGTGCATTATTTTTGTGGGGGAAGAAAAGAGGGGTGGTGTGCTATTCATTGTTCCATGTGTTATTCATGAGCCCAAATTCTGAACCTCCTTTCACAAGTTCGGTGTCGCTGTTTCAGCCCATGCGTAAAAGACTTACCTTCTTCATGCAGACTGCCTATATGTTTTTATAGTGGCTCCCTGATATGTTCAATCCAGTTTTTGTTTTCATTACAGCAAGTCTGAGTTTGGCTTCCAAACCTAGTCTACTGTAACTGAATCACTAAATTTTAGACGCCTATTCTTTGTCCATTTCTCTACTTTCTCCCCTGACTTTTGGAGCAGACAGGAGGCTGTTGGTGCACATGTGGGTTCTGGGGCTCCGTCCAGAAGAAAAAGAATAGACCCACTGCTGCCCTAACGAGCATGTCATAGAAGGCAGAGTGCCTGAGGGCAAGGAACCAACAGTCTGTATATAAATCAAATAGACGTGCAGGCCAAATTCAAGTTCTGGATAAGGACCAAAGGCCAGAAGTGGACAAACAAACAGAACTTTCCATCAGAGTTTATAGCTGGCGAACACTAGGAAGAACTAAAACTTTGCGTGGCACAAGGAAACGTAACCACTGCCGGTGATAAAACAGTTTAAAAAAAGGTATACCAATTTTGAACTTGCCAATAAACATGTGGCGAGTAGCTTGGAATTTAAAGAGTTAAATCTAAAAATAGGAGAAATTGCAGTTCCAACATCACAGCAAATGGGTCAACTCATAGGTGCTCTGTTTCTGTGCCAACGATAACCACACAGAATGCCTCCAACTGACCCAGACTGTTGGCTCTGCAAATTAAATTGCATACAACAAATTAAATGCATCAGGCACCATCAGAAGTGCCAAGACAAACAGTCCAGCACTGGAAAATAGTTTATCATCGACGGAGACAGCAGGTAAAACAAATCAGTAGTTGCACATGCAATTAATAGCATAAGGCACTAACAATTCTGTGGCAACAGGCCATTGCCATTTTCTAAATCTATTTTCTTTTTTCTCGCTCTTTGCATTGTAAGATAAAGCTAAAAATAACCATTTATTTTTTTGCTCAGAAACCACGCTTCAAAGGTACAGTTATCAGTCAGATGCCAGGACCAATGTCTGCAATGGGTCTACATCAGACCCTCTCTCTTGTCCTAGTTGTACACTACTGATACTGCTGGGACACTTATTAATCTCTTGATATTATCCTCTCCCTTGTATCAATGTCTACCTCTTGTTCACTTGCTTAAACTTTTACTTTAAATATCTTTTCTTAGCCTTCACCAGCTGTAAATTCTGGTGGAAATTCTGGCTGTTCATCCACTTCTGCATTTTAGTCTTGTTCCACAAATTGGATTTTGCATGCATATCTTCTTCTTTCTTCTTTGTGTTCACCGGTTGTAAACTCCGGCGGAAAGTTCTGGTTGCTCATACACTTCTCGACTCTAGTCTTGTTCCCAGATCCGTTTTTCTGATCTAGCTTACTTGAATGCAGACTCTTGGTTTCTAACCTTTTAGGCAGATGCGTTCTTCAGAAGACAAAATTCTGAATTAGTCGCTTTTTAGGACATGCTTTTAGGGAGACAGTGGCATTCACTCCCCTCTCCCAATATGGTGCTCAGGAACCCACTGGGATACTTCAAAAATGATATTTTTTGTGTCTTTCAATAAATAAGGCCAAATACTTCACTTGTCTTTTTTTTTTCCCCCTTTTATTCCTAGTCACTTCAGAATCTCTGTAGCTGTTTGTTTTCTGTACATGAATTAACACCAATTCTATGACTGTACTAAAATATTACTAACCTCTTGGAAAAGATATGGTAGCTGAAGAGCAAGCTTCTTAATTTTTGGAAGTGTTGAATGAAAAAAGCGCTCGCACTCCTCATTATTCAATGTCTGAAATTATTGAAAAAATAAAAAAGTAAATAAAGTGTGTGTATGTGCGTGCGTGTGTGTGTGCGTAGTCCTGGAAGTAAACACTGTGACACACTACACCACTTTCGAGTCAAAGATAGAAGAAATGATAAACAACTCCTCATGGGAACAATCAGTAGTTACCTTGGAGTGGCTGTTGCATCGGAGGACTGTGCATGCATGTCCAATGTGATCAAGAACAATGTGGGGGGGGGGGGGGGGGGGATTTGGGGGGGGGGGGGGGAGAACTACATCAGTATCAAGTGTTTTTGATTGAAGAGATCAGAGAATCAGCACTTTATACCTCTCTCAACACCCAAGTGACAAAAGGGGAAAGATGAAGAAAGCAACTGCACAGACCGTTCTCAGCCATTTCTGGCGTCAAGCTTTGATAAGCAACAAAAGTGAAATGTACCTCCTGCAATGTATATGAAGATGTCAAAAGTTAGCTGGCCAAGGGGAAAAAATAAACACTAATGAAATTACACTCTACTGACAGTTCCTTCATTAAAAACAAAGCTGCAAAATTATTGCAACCTATTTACATAAGGGAGCTATGGTAACTGGAGTGGCTAGATGCCTGCTGCTGATCCAAAGGTCTTAGGTTCAAATCTGCAATTTACAACAGACCCTGACTCCCAGATTGACCCAGCCTAAACAGGGTACCAGGAAATTTCCTATGAAATAAAGTTTTGGAATGAGAGGTTGCATAGGAGTCCACCAAGTCATTGAAAAACTTCATTGCTAGGGATGCAGTAGTCAGTTGGCATCAACTGAGGACATTCTGTTCTTGTAGAAATTCTATTTCCTTTAGATTGTGCCAGTCCTTTCAGAAGCATAAGGTAGCATGGAGGACTGAGTACTTTCATATTAAGTTTTGATGGATCAATTGATCGATTCGTTTGTCTGGGCCTCTACCTGTTTACAACTTAAGAGATAAACAAATTTTAATCTGGATGGCAGACCAACAGGACAGATACCAGATGCCATGTTCAGCCTCCAAAGAAGTTATAATTAGGGCATGTGTAAGGGCAACACCAGCCTGGTATAACCTGTAGTCATGCAGCCAGCTTGACTGAGTCTACAGAGCTTTAAGAATGGCTGCTGCCTGTTCTAAAATGTTTCTTCTGCAGCAATGAAATTTGCCTTGATGTTACCAATAGTTTGCAAAACATAAAATCGCTGTATGTAATGTCAAAAAAAAAAGGGGGGGGGGGAAAGGGGGGGAGGGGCAATATTTTTTTTTGCAGGCCACTTTGAAAAACCCTGGTTAAAACTATAAAACAAATCTGATATAAAAAATATAATACTGGTGAAAATGGCATTTCCTGAATATCAAAGTGACATTTCATGTAAAGAAATAGACACACACCCAAACGCAACAAAGCTCTCGAGTGTGCCACTCACTTTTCCAAAAGTCACAAAGATATTGAACAACTAGACATTTCAAACTTAAGTATGACCCCCACCTCCTCGCAAACTCCTGTGTTACCAAGGCATTCAAGACAATGTAGAGGCGCTGAGTTTACAAGGGTCTAAAGAGTATCTGAGGAACAGCTTGCTATTCCTGAAGCAGAAATGCAGACAACTGTGCAAAAATCAACTGCAGGGGATGATTTGTTGACAGCCTTTGACCAAGGACATCTCAAAGGTGCTCAATCGAAGAAAGGTCAGGTCAATAAGCTGGTCACAGCATTCTGATGACTCTCTGTTGCTGAATAAAGTCATTCACCACATCAGCTTGACGGAGGCGAGCATTATCATGGAGGCTGGCATTACCGCCTATGGCCTCCAGAGCAGGCTGAACAATTGGTCTCAAGATTTTGTTCTGGTATCTGGAGTCGGTCGTTGCCAATGATGATGTACAGAAGCCTCCCCAGACCATGACAGAACACTTACAATAATGATCCATCTCTTGGATTGTGTCATCAGTAAATCACTCTCCTGGTCATCTCAAAAATTCAGTGAATGACACAGTAAAGCAAGATTCATCAGTGAAGAGAACTTGACTCCACTTTCCCCTTGTCCATCAGATGAGCTCGCGACACCAAGCAACATTGGCTCTGCGATAAGCAGAAGTAAGAACGATTCTGACTTAAGGATGTCAAGCAACCAGTCCAAATTCATGTAAATGATGCTTTGGTTGACATTAATTACCATTCACAGTTTGCCTCAGCTGACATCTTAAAGTAGAACAAATCACTATTCAACAATGAAGGGCTGACAAGAGGTACCGGTCATGTCTACTGATGCATCTAAGTTCACATGACTGGTGATGATGCACCACACTTCCTGTGGCCTGAAATTTCTCAAATTTTTTTTAGATAGTTGAGTGTGACACCGCAAGTCTTCTAGCAACTTCAAGGAAAGATAAACCGCTTTTAACCCACATGACTACTACTCGATGGCATAGTTTTTGCAAATGATGAAACAACCCTAATTTGCTGATTGTTAAACAAATTAAAAGTGAACTTTCAGTCACCACTGCAAGTGGAATGTCAATCATCAAGATTACTTTACTTTACCTGTTTGCATGTATGAGATTTGAAAAAAAAAAAAAAAAAAAATACACAATGTGAATTTAAGGTCAGCAAACCAAATTGCAAGTGATCACAATGGCTTTTGGTGAGTAGTTCTCACGCTTCATGTGCATAGAAGACAGTCATAGGAAGATACTGCAACCATTTTTACTAAAAAAAAAAAATTTTCATTTAATCACTGTAAGCGCTTATATAAATGTGTAATGAAAATAGGGTGGCCCTTGACTTCTGATGAGTGGTATATAATAAACAGACTAAAAATGCTAATAAGCAATTTTTAAACTTAAACTGCTTCATAAGAACTTCCTGCACTACCTTAAAATAAGCATGAAGTGCACGAAAGTCCAACTTCTCATTGGGATAGCGCTGAGGGCTGTGATGGCGACCGCGGTGAGGACTTTGCAGAGGATTGTGATGAGCAATTGCTGTCAGTGCCTCCTGTGGACAACATTTGTTTGTAAATTAATAACATGTCATGTGCAGAACAGTAGTAATTCAGGCTGATACATCATCATGGAGCAGGTCCTTTGCAGAACATTGCTCTCATCACGGTCTGTCTGAAAAAAAAAAAAACCAGTCTTTCCCCAGTTCTCCCGCCTCATGTACTTTCATACTCAAGGAGTCACTTATATTCTGTGCCCATCTTCGTGTTGGTCGGCCCCTGCCCCTCCTTCCTGGTACCATGCCTTTTGCTATATTTTTTTCCCAATCCGTCGTGGCGCTTGATATGACCAAAATATTTCAGCTTCCAAGACAGGATGCTGTTTATTAGCCAATCTTCCTTGACGTTCAGATCTTTCAAGATGTCAGTATTTCTCCTCTTCTTTGTCCAGGATATTCTGAGAATCATTCTATGGCATTTCAGCTCAAAAGCCCCTATTCTCTTTTTTAAGGACTGGGAGATAGTCCACGACTCACATCCGTATGCAGCCACAGGGAAGATGCATGCTCTCAAAATTCTAATTGTGATCTCCTTGCTGGTGCTTAACCATAGACTTTTAAGGCTGTTAAATCTTTGCATTGCTATGGCCACCTGATACATACTAGACAAAAAAGGGTAATTATTAAGCAAATAAAGGTATGACAAATAAAATATAGGTACATTAAAAAGACTATCAATCTCAGTATTCAGTATTAATACATATTTAGTGGGGCAGGAAATCAAAACAAGTAAAATATAAATATCTAAGACAAATTCCAAATGTAAAGAGATGAGAATAACAATGTCAATACACAAACAAGGGCAAACTTTGCACAACATACTTTTTCTGCTACTCATCATTTGTCCAAAGAATGATTACTACCTTTCTTCTTCTTCTGTGAATGATCAGTTTTCTTTGTGAGCTCATTTCTATGAAAACTTTTATTTTAAAAAATCCATCCATGGTGTTCAACTAATGTGTGTAGTTTCCAAAACATTTTTAACTGCCCTGCTGACTTCGACTCTAAGGAGCTATTTTACACCTCAAATAAAGGTATTTTGCATGTATTTGCATATAATCTATCCTTTGCAGATCAAGTGCAGCCTATGCTATTCGACCTTTAGTTTAACTCATTTTCTCATCTCTCCATCTACTGTTACAAAGCCAAATACACAGTGGTTGGCTTCAAACTAGTCTTTTTCTTTGTGGTCACATGCTCTAAACACTTCCAGTATCATGGCCTATCTGTTCAGCCAAGTCTCTTTGGCTTTAAATCCTCTGGCTTTAAACCAATTTGGAGAATTTATGGGGGGTGTCCCGAGTGCTGTGATGTTGATTCTTAATTCAACATTTAAACTAGTCATATATCTCATTTGCACATAAAAAAATTGCCAGGCCACATATGAAATTGTGTGCTTTATGTGAAATAGAGGTGCCCATTTAAATCACCAGAGTTCAGACACCTGCTTTTTTTCTTTCAAAGGCTCCAAAATTAGTTTTTTCAACAAATTTCTTCACACATAAACATTACATATTTACCTCCAGGCCCCAGATATTGAATATATCTGCATTCAAAATCTGAACAATGTTTTGCCATCTTGAGCTTAGACGAAAATCCTAAAACAGATTTTTAAATGTATAAATTTAACTCGTAAAAACGAAAAAAGTCAAGCAATGATGTATGCCAACTTCAGAACAGAAAGTAAGATAATAATGAATGAACATAATATTGTAAATACAGGTGTAAGGATGAATAATTTCAAAACAGTCAGACAGATTATCATAACTTTAGGACACTAAGGTGATATACGGTAACTTCAGATTTCATTCTAGTCCAGAGAACAGCGAAAAGAAAAACTGAAGTCAGCGTAATACCCATCATGTGTGCAGACACCTATGATAAATCAGTAATGTTTCATACTGTACAGGAAAACCTAGACAACAGACACAATCAAGCAGAATCAAAATCTGCAAAATCAATAAGAAAAAAACAGTCAAAGAAATTACTGAGTTTAACACAAAAGTACACAAAAACAGTCAGTCAAAGAAATTAACGAGTTTAACACAAAAGTACACAAAAACAGTCAGTCAAAGAAGACTGGATTATATTTAAAGACAGTGATAAGCAAATGGCTAAGACATGCTGGATAATGAAAGCAAACAAAGATTTACACCATGGTGGTGTGGAGTGAAGAAAAACTGCTGTCAAAGACGCAAAAGTATAAATTATGCACAGACAGCAGATAGGAACAAGATTACAAATTCACACACAAAAAAAAAGAAAATTATAAAAAATGACAAAATCGTTTCATGGAAAGTATAATTAAGAGAGTTTAATAGCCGATTATAGAAGGTTAAATGTGAAAATTATGTCATAAAATTTAAGCCATGAGGGAAAACAGTTAAAGTCAATATAAATGAGGAAAAAAAGTGGAAGAAAACCAAATGACCCAAAACTAATGTTAAAAAGATGACAGGAAGCACCTGGAGATTAGGGAAGCTGCCGTGGTGTAGCAGCTAGATGCTAACCTGCAGTCCGAAGGTGGTGGGGTTCAGGTTTTAAAAATCATCTTGGCTTCCAGGTTGACCTACCAGCCTTAAATGGGTACCAGATGTCTTGGGAAGTAAAGGCAGCCGGTGTGATGTTGACCACATCATCCACAAAGTGCAGATTAGTCTATAGAATATAGGTCTAGCCTTATAAACCCACTACACCTGAAGGTGTGGAAAAGGGTTCTTCACTTTTACCTGGAGACTGGAACGACTATGTAATCATCCCAGCCAGGAAAAGGGCAGCAAAAGAAATATGATCACACATAGGAATCTCATTGCTGAGCCACACTGGAAAGTGGTTTTTTTTTGGGTGGGGGGGGGGGGGGGGGGGGGGGAGCCATAATATTTAAAAAGGAAATAAAAATGTAAATAATCAAAAACTCAAACACATAATTCAATCAGCAAAGAGACAATGACTAAAAAAAAAAAAAAATAACTGGAAAAACTGAACATACTAGTCAAGGACATAATGTTATGAAAAAAGAACAATGGATTTTTTTGGACAAAGTTCTCACTTCTGAACCAAAGTGTATCATTCAATGTGTCATATTCTAACAAATAATGTTTGAGGAAACATTTTGTCCAAATTATTTTGAGCAAGTCAGGTTTTAGGTAATAACAGAAACAAGGTTACACTAGCTATATAACAAAATCCATGACACTTTGGACTTCAATTACTTTAAAAAAGTACATTATGATCATTTCACTGTTTCCTTTATTTATACGAAGCTGGTTGGTTAGTTGACAATCCTCACTGAACATCAAACCATTCATCAGTCCAGAAGTGCTTGGATCCCCCTTCTTGGTAAATCACTCAGCTTGCAGTAGCTGATGACATTATTTGTTTTGTCATTTTATTCTTGTGACTTCCTGCATAATGCTTTTGTCTGGCCTCGCTTCTTTTAACTTGCTGTTTTTGCACTCTAGTCAAGGTTGGATATTCAAACATGATAATTAATGCGAACATCTTTCTTCTCGATGAGTACTTAGTATGTCAGCCTCATCTTTTGCTCATCCAACTGAACACACAAATATAAAATCTCTATAAGGGAAAGACAGAAAGAGTCAGAGTTGCCTTAATAAACAAAAACAAAGGAATCTAAATAAATGAAAATACAAACCTCTGGTGTCTGTTGATGTGGTAGAAGCACATAGCTAGGAACAATTCTGTCTATGGGCTCCTGACTTTTTAGCATGTCAGACTGCACATTAAAAAGGACAACATGTAAATAAGGTAAATAAAGGCAAATAAAATAGTTGAAGTAGATTCATCTCCATGTGGTTTCAAAACCCCCATCTGGGGAAGTGCAAAATGGAGGGGGGGGGGGGGGGATCCAACTAACTCCTAAAAAGCATGTTGTAGGTAGTGTAGGTAGAAAGTGACTTAATTATGGGTGTCTCCTTCCAAGTCATAGTGCATCTGCCTAAAACACTCCAAGCTGGGCCCAAATTCCGGCCAGTCAGTATGTGCTATGCCAAACTATGACCTGTTTACATCCAACATCTTTACATAAATCTGAAGTTCTAGAACTTTCTTCCACACCTTACTGACCTGAGTTTGGGGGGTGGGGCAACTTTGCAATACAGCCAACATACAGATAGCCCCTCAGAAGGTAAATCTTTATACAAACAAAACTTGATAAATGTAAGGACTGAATTAAAAATCAAACAATACAAAAAAATGCACCAGATTCAGAGTTAAATTTTTGGTCTTTCACTGGATATGTAACCACCCATGTAAAGTTTAATTTACTAGATCAAAATTAGGAGACAACCTAAAAATGTTGGTCAAAATGTGTAAATTTTCTGTGAATTGGAACAGTGGGAGAAAACTGCATATTTTACTGGTTATTTTCAGATATGCTTGTTGCTTGATTGTTCTTGTCTGTATCAATATCTAAGCACATCAGTCCAACCCATTCATGCTCTATCCTCTGATGCAGCAGCCATCTTTGTGTCTCCATGCCCAACATAGCCAGCAGGAGATGACTGGCATATCTTCCTTCCTTGTTCCTACAAATGGTTTCTGCATGCTTGTCCTTTAGCAACATTTCCAACTGGTGGTTCATCATCTCTGACTCCCTTGTCTTATCCATCTCTTGATTGCAGCACATTCAGCATCTCTGCCCTGTCGTATACTTCTTTCTTCAATGACCACATAGCTTTTTCATTTCCTTTCACACTGGCTGGTCCCTGTGTGTACAGCCAAGAGAGTTTCTGGAGGCAAGACTTCTGGATGCTTTCAACCTATTCTAGTCACAGACGTCACCAGTCTGGATCTTCTTAAACTTGCTCACTGAATCATCACTATCAATGCACGAGCTGCTTTCTGTTCTACCAGCCATGCAAGTGCCCATGTGACAGTGACATCTCTATTGTCATGCTAGAAGTAGTTGAGCTGAATGCCAAATCACTCAGAATGCCCACCCAGACCACATTCCACGAATCACAGCATCTGTATAGATGTCACCTGTTTCAGTGTGCTCATGAATGAGGGTTCCTATTTCAGCATCAGTGGCTGTCTGGTTCCATTCTCTGTTATAAATGCCCAAGGTATTATCTCAATGTGCTCCTGCAAGTTTCTGGTGTTTCTGTCCATTCAGCACCTAGTCTGACATGTTCCAACTGACACATTTGGCTAAAGGCTTAGCTTCAGTCATCCAGGACTGCCTCCACTGTAGGCCCTTAACTCTGGTCACCCACAGCAGTTGTTCAGAGGGTTATGTAAGCACGAAAACCAAGTTATGCCCTTGCCTGGGCCATCTTTATATCAACACAAGACTGCAGTCTTGGGAACACCAATAACATATAGAGTCAAAAGTGCCACACAAACAGTTTGCTACAAGAATTGCAGTTCATCTCTCATAGGAGCAATTACAACAAATCAGTAGTTGCACATACTCTATCACAAAAGGCATAGCCAGTTCTATGGCAACCAGCCACTCACCATTTTCTGAATCTGCAGTTTACAATACAAACTACCTTGGGCATGGTAAAAATGCATATTCCATGAAACTGACTCAGCGTCATGACACATAACTCCGTAAATCAGTGACGGAAACTACACACTTTCAGTCCACATATGCAGAAAAAAGCAAAAAGCCAAAAACAGCTAGAAGCAAATAGCTTCTAAGACTAAAACAGTCTGCAGGTGTCCACTACATAAGATCTGTATAAGATCCGAAAACTACAACTCCTCTTAAAACCTAACTAAACATTCTAAGGGTAACACTTACATGGTCTGCTGACTCATTTGCAGCTCCTTGTGAAGATGGAGACTCACTGAAGCATTCAGGAGCTCTTCTCAACTGGTCAAGAGGCACTCCCTGCAAAGATTACATCAGACAATGTCATGCACCATATACTTGTAGTTATAGAATTGGGGGACACACATTCAGAAACAGTTCTGATGATAATTTATTGTTTATCCCTATAGATGAATTCTTCTTGATTTTGTGTGTGTGTTATTTAATGCATTCTGGTTATTCAGATTTGTTATCGAGGTCCATAAAGAAAATTAAGAACAGTAACACTAACTATCATGCACATATTGAGACGACAGAAGAGGGTTGATTTAAGGGGCTTGGTTTGTGAGTTGATTGTGCGTCTATGCTCCGCTTGGAGATAAAAAGAGAAGAAAAAAGACAAGAAAATTACTTGTCTTAGTATCTTATACATTAATAATATCTCTTTGCCATTATTATTTATCAATTTGGCTTTAAATATGAATGACTATCTATAGTTAACACTTTCACCCTAGGAAGTATCAAAAAGAGCATTTCTGGTATGTGCCATGCTTCCATAAATGCTGTTCAACTGGCACAGCAATAGTGTCTTATTCGCAAGGATCCTTGCTAACTGCGCTGATTTCATTTGCATATTCGCAAATACCAAATAGGTTGGCCATGGCTAAAGTTATTAAAAATAGAATTTGCATTTGTTCTCTTGTGATGAACTGGCTTTATTTCTAGAAATTATATCATTTCCTGTTAGTCACAGTGGTCTCCAGCGGCCAGGTTACAGCGCCAAAACAGGTCATCATATTAAATTTAACATCGGAAGTTGAATTTCTGCTGCATTCGTTTGAACTGATTCCCCTTTGTCTTCAGTGCAGAATTGTTCTTTATGTCTGGAATTGGAAGTTATAGTAATTTGTTTGTAAACTGTGTAAAATGGTTCTTTTATTTGAAGAAATTACGGGGTCTTGGCCCTTTCTTTCTGGGTCACTGTGGTGAAAGAGTTTAATCCTGTAAAACTTCCATTAGTGATGGCGTGATAAACTGATGCATTAAAATGTAGATGTCAGCACCCTTTAAGTGTGAACAAACATGCACAATTAGAACACCATGGCTTGAATAGAATGGTGCTGAAGAGAATTGTGTTTGTTGAAGAGAATGGTGTTAAAGAGAATGGCGTTGAAGAGAATGGTGTTGAAGAGAATGGTGTTGAAGAGAATGGTGTTGAAGAGAATGGTGTTGAAGAGAATGGTGCTGAAGAGAATGGTGCTGAAGAGAATGGTGCTGAAGAGAACGGTGTTTGTTGAAGAGAATGGTGCACTGGGGAGTGACCAGGGGATCTGGCCCATATTCCAAGCTCAGAGTAAAGCTCTTCACTGACTGGTGATGAGATGTAGCACTTATGGGAATGTCCCGAGTGCTGTGATGTTGGTTCTTGAAACTCATCTCAATTGTTAGTGATATCTTGTAATTTAATGCGTTCGTAGAAGTTCATAGCAAATTCCAAAGGCAGCCAATAATGATAGAAATCATAGGTGTACTACCAACACAGGGACCCATATCCTGCAGGAAACTTAGTATGCCCAGACTAAATGTAAGATCTACCATCATCCACACCATGACTAGTACACTTAAAGAACAACCTAATACTTGAAGTGTTGCATGTGACACATGAACTAACATGGTCTGTACTTTTTAAACATTATTAGGCTTTTTCTCGTCACGAAACAGATATCCAAGCTTGGGTTTCAGAAGCAACAACAAAATTCATAATCTGTTGAAATTATCATTGATAACTAGCATCATGAGAGCTAATAGACAGATGGTTGCGGCATATTGAGAGAATGTGTCAGATGACATAAGTGAAAATTGTATACACAAAGGAGATGAATGGTCGAAGACCACGAGGCAGACCAAGTCGAGGATGAAGATATGTTTTCAGACAGACCTGCAAACACTTGGTGTCACCGACTGAAAAGAGAAGGCCAACCAGAGAGATAAGTAAAGGCGAGTGATATCTACAGCAATGAACTTCAGGGGCTCGGAATGCTGAAGAAGAAGATTTACGCTTTTAATTTTTAATTTTGTTTAAACCAGGACAAAGCAGAACCTGAGGTTTAAATAAAAGTATCCGGATCAAACACTTTCTTAATTAAACAGCTTGGGATACTGGCCTTAGATACTACTACTCCTGTGGATTATTGAGCCCTATTTTAGTTGGCAAAGAATAGGGACACTGCCTCCAAAAAAGGATCTTGCAAAAACCTACTAATTAGGAGTCTATCAAAGTCGGAGTGCATCTGTCTGAGAAGCAAAGAATCATCTGTCTGCATACAAATTGTTGTTGTTGTTGTTGTTATCGATCCAGCGGCGCATGAGCTTTCGCCCTTTGGCCCAATGCCATGTAGTGGAATTTGCATGTTTTCACAAGCTGTTCTTTTCCTCCGTACAAGGTGTTCCACTTGTCTGGTCTCGGAGGGAGTAGCGTTCTTCTTGTCTCACTGAGTTTTGGGCACTCAAAGAGATGGTGTTCAACAGTTTCGTAGGGGTAGTTACATAGCTGGCACTCTGGGGAGTGTTGTGGCTGTATTCTGTTTAGGTGTCCATTGAGTGGAGTATGTTGCGTTCTAAGTCTGAAGATGGTGGCCTGGTCCCTTCTTGTTAGATGGTTAATGCTGTCATTAGGATCAGGGCCAGACATATGTCTATAAACCTCTCTTCCAGTGTCTCCCATGGCCCATCTGTTCAACCAAGTCTCTTTTGTTTATAGCTCTTATCAGTGTTTTTGCTGTCTGGAGGGTTGTCGCTGTAGGTGGTTGTTCTTGTGTTGCTCCTTTCTTTGCCAATCTGTCAGCTCTGTCATTACCTGGTGTGCCGGAGTGACCTGGAATCCACTGCATCACTATTCTGATGTTGTATGAGGTAATAAGATGATCGGCATCCAGGATTATCTTGGCTATGTCAGTTCTGCAGCGTTCATTGCCCTCCAGAGCTTGAAGGGCAGACATTGAATCTGTAAAGATGACAATATTTTGGACCTTTGAGGGGTAAACATCCATTACAGTCTTTAGGTGGTATACTGCTGTTTCCAGTGCAATTATTTCAGCTTCATAGTTGCATACAAATAAGTTAGCTCTGTAAAATGGATGTGCATGTAAAACTCAAATTCTGGAACAAGACAATTCCAGAAATGGATGAGCAGCCAAGACTTTCAGCCAGAGTTTACAGCCGGTGAACAGAAAGAACAAGGAAAATAGTTTACTGAAAGAAAAAATATATTTAACAATCACCATGTACACACCGAAAAAGCGTTCTAAAACAAAAATGAACACACCTTCCAAACACCTTGGCTTTTCCCAGATTCCTGAGATTCAAGCTTCTTGGTATTCTTCAAATCAGGCCCAGCATTCCTCCTTACTGTATCCTCTGATTTGAAACTGCAAGAAAAAATACTCATAAAAGCTGAACTAATTCTCTAGGCAAGTGGGTAAAAGTATCCTTTCAAACAAAAGTAAAAGTATGTCCTTTCCACCGCAAACCTACAGGCCTCCCTTGGGAAAAGGAGTACATGCTTAGATTCTATATCAGGGTGAAATCAAACCCTGAAAGGTGTTGGATACAGCTTGAGAGCAGCATACAGATAGTTGGTCATGATCTCAAGTTCCATCACAGTAAGCAGAGGATCACACTATATTTACAATGGCTGGGGGCCGCGTTAGCACAGTCGATAAGAGGGTCGCTTTCAAATCCAGCTGCAACTCGCTGCAGGCCACGGTCGGTGTTCGAAACCGGGCGGTTCGCGGGGTTAACCCAGCCTCTAGGAAATGGGTACCAGTGTTGACACTGGGGTAAATGGAGGAACGTCGCTGTAGCTACAGAGTTATGTGCTAACAGCGACACAGACGAACAATTCTTATCAGCTGTCCGTACGGGTGGCAGAGCACTTATGGTTTATAACCGTGTGCAATGACGCTGGTTTACATCTCCCGACTTTACCTTTTAACATTGGCTATGGTCACCTGATTACAAACGTAAGACGGAGTGACTGTCACCATTTCTGGCCATTTCATGTGAAGAGAGAAACTAGAACATGTAACCACTGGAAAGATTTGTGGAAAGAGATAGAGGAAGACAATGCAAGAAGATTCTTGACACCATTGTGTCACGGCATGTAAGGGTCCCAGCACATAAGAGAATGAATTCTGTTGGATATCGCAGGTTGTGAAGAGGTATGATTGCCCGTGCCAGTTGACAAGGTATTGAACAATGATGATCACCTAAACGTTTGGTCACCGCCGAGAAGGAGGGCAACTGGAAAGTACCTTCTTCAAAGATACCAGAAAAATTATAATATGACAACAATAACACAGACCTAATCAGTAATTCTAGTGATCACATATGATGGGAAATCATGAATGAATACTCTATAAGAACACACCCTGCTTTTTTTTTCAGACATCCTAATATTCATACACCACTTGTTTCCTGAAATGTATTTTTCTCTTCTCATATTTAGAATTGAGTCCTAGCCCATTATGTCTGTTTTGTTTCTTTTCTTCTTCTGTTGTTAGGGTCCAAACAAATGTGACATTTACAGAATGATTATGTTTCTTTTCTTCTTCTGTTGTTAGGGTCAAAACAAATGTGACATTTACAGAATGATTATGTTTCTTTTCTTCTTCTGTTGTTAGGGTCCAAACAAATGTGACATTTACAGAATGATTGTTTCTTTTCTTCTTCTGTTGTTAAGGTCCAAACAAATGTGACATTTACAGAATGATTATGTTTCTTTTCTTCTTCTGTTGTTAGGGTCCAAACAAATGTGACATTTACAGAATGATTATGTTTCTTTTCTTCTTCTGTTGTTAGGGTCCAAACAAATGTGACATTTACAGAATGATTGTTTCTTTTCTTCTTCTGTTGTTAGGGTTCAAACAAATGTGACATTTACAGAATGATTATGTTTCTTTTCTTCTTCTGTTGTTAGGGTCCAAACAAATGTGACATTTACAGAATGATTATGTTTCTTTTCTACTTCTGTTGTTAGGGTCCAAACAAATGTGACATTTACAGAATGATTATGTTTCTTTTCTTCTTCTGTTGTTAGGGTCCAAACAAATGTGACATTTACAGAATGATTAAACGACCAATAGCAAGGTAGTAGTAGTAGTACTTTATCCCACCAGGACATCACACAAGCGATAAACACCTGATGACACAAAGTGCCACCTTGCGGATGAGGATCACCCGTGGAGAGGTCCCGAAAACCGCTGTCAGCCATTAGGTCATATTCATGGCCGGGCTATATTGCGGCCCCTGGCAAGAGCCAGGGTGGGGCTTCAAAATAACAAAAAAGTGCATCCCACAGGGGGATGACTGTGTATGACAAATAACAAGGAGAAAGCAAAGGGATAAATACACATGCAAGATGTCGAAACCTGACAGCATAAGCTAATTTGCACAGCACATGATGATGATGACAGAATGTTAGAAAAGACTGAAGACAGTTCTTCTGATATATACTGGCACACTTGTGCTCTGCTTTTTTTAATGTGTTTTTTTTTTGGTCGCAAAAGTAAAGAACCTTTTTCGTTCCATAAGCACATCAGGCATCTGACGCTAGTCATTTTTTATGGCCTAACGATGGGCCGTGAGGTCAACATGCTGGCTGCTTCTCAAGGCATTTCCTGGTAGCCATTTTACACTGTCCTGACCTGATAACCAAGTTAATGTTTTGTTTTTTCAAATCTCTACGGATTTAAACTCCAGACCTTCAGGCTAGCAGGCAAACATCTAAGCATTACGCTAGATATAGTTTTGTTGTATTGTCCAATAATTTAATAATACATATTCATAAAAGTTCGTCATCATCATCACTATGTGCCCTGCCAACTGGCGTAAGTGCTAATGCATGTACACAGCTCTCTTGATGGTATCCCTCCATGCCATTGTTTCAGCCCATCCAGCCTCTTCTCTTTTGGTCTGCCTCTACCCCTTTTTCCACTGATCTTTCCAGTTGTTACGATGTTCTCCAATGTCTCTCTTCTCATTATGTGGCCAAAGAACAGTGTTTGTCTCTTTCTAATTGTTGTATATAAATATCTACTTTCATTAGCTTCTTTCAAGCAATCATCCTTAGTTACTCTGGTCGTCCAAAAGTTCATATATTCAAATAAAAAATGGGTTTTTTCAACACATGTTCTAGATCTGCCTAATTGTCTTCCTGGTTTGCATCATGGACTGCTCTTCTGTGTATGCAGTTGTTGACTTTGTAATCTGCCATTCTCTAAAAATGTCCCAATTATTGCAGTCTATCAGCCCTCATGATGCCAGTAATTAGTGGGGAGTTAAACAGAATGATTAATTATGTTATTGCCTCTCCCTCTCAATTCTCTGCTGTCGGCATCTGTGATTGGTCAAGATTCACAGCATGATTGTTCTCAAAAGTTTCCAAAATGGCTCTAACTATTTTAGTCATCCTTCAAGTTTCAAAGCCATATAGACCAACAACTGATCTTGGAATTTTATTTACTGTGGTTTCAGTGTTATGAGACAAAGCATTTAAATTTAGCAGATGTGACTCATAGTATATCATTTCCAAATTGCATCCTAGATTGTATTTGTTGTTAGTATGTTGGTTAAAACTTCTTACCCTGCTGTCTTCTTCCTGTCTGCACCAGAATCAGCGCCAGATAAGCCAGGTATTTTTTTGCTCTGCTTCAGAGAATCCATTTGTTCTGCATTTAGAATACAAGAATTGTATTCAGTAGATGTAAGAAATTATTTTGAAAGTTAGTTAGTTGGGATTTAATCATTGCACTCCTGACCAGTGTTGCCGTTTTGGATGTTTTAAAATCCAGATTTAGATGTTTTCCCTTGCATTTAGATGGCATTTTTGACATTTAGATGGTAGATGTTTTCTAGATGTTTTTCATTTGGAGTAAATTTATCAAATCTAACCTAAGAAACAGGATGAAATTTGACGTTTTGAATGCTATCTTGACAATAAAATTCGGCCTGATAAGAGTAGGAAAAGGCTGTTCCACTTATCAGCTTCCTGATTGGGTATTAAAAGAAATAGGAACAGCTAAAGTATACCAGAGTCATTTTGGATCTGAAGCTTCAACTTCATCATCCAAGCTAAGAATATCATGTGGATATTGTAAGGCAGACTTCAGTAGAGATGAGGACATGATTCTGTAGGGTAAGTCATATCAATTGCTATGTAATTTGTGACTCTTTCCATTTGGATGTTTTTCTAGATGTTTTCCCGTGCAAATTTAGATGTTTTAGATATTTTTTGGCTCCGTTTTTGGTCAAAGAAAAGTGGCAACATTGCTCCTGACATGTCCATAGGTGCTCAGATCCTTACCTCAATATGAACCCCAGTGCCCTATGACTAATAGTGGCAGTTCTTTGTTGATTTATATAATTCTTGTTGTATGCCTGGTCTGTCTCTCACTTTTGGCTGTGCCGATCTTATCTCCCGAGTCTTTCATTCTGGTCAGCAAAGTGGAATTGCTGTCTCAAAAGTCCTCCACCCATCCCAGTTCTCTGAGGGCATTAATAATATCAGCATGATCCATGGGTTGACCTTCAGCAGTGAGAGCGGATCCAGCCAACTTATCAGCCCTTTAATCTCCATCGATGCCCGCACATCCCAAAACGAAGATACAGACGACGTTCGGCATGGTGGACTTCTGAGCTCAATCCACTGTCTTCGCACAGAACCTGCATGGATCTTCCTGATCATGCTCATGGATTCACTAAGTACACATGCACAGATTATTTTGAAAGTGTCAACTGTAACAAAACAAAACAAAAAACCCAAAAAAAAACCAAAAAGATGTCATGTTTTTGAGGTATACCAAGCATTTAGTTATACAATTTTTTTTATACCAATCAGCACTGTGCACTGCCTTTACTCACCAACATATTTTTAAAACTACTAGATGTTAACTTCATGGTCCCTATTTGTTAAAGTATGTCTGACAAACATGAAAAAACTGAAAATAGTATAGAAATCCCAATTTTCTATTCATATAATTGGGATTTACCACTTATCAGGAAAAATCACTGGTAGAAGAGGCAGACGAACAGAAACGATGGTGGATGACTTAAGACAGTGGCATGGAGGAATATCGTCAGTGGAATTGATCCAGAACACCAAAGACCTAAAGACTAAGATCTGTCAAGATGCATGAACACCTATGCCAGCTGGCAAGGTATTTGATGACTAAAAAAAAAATAGATCACAAGGGGGCAACTATTTTGTTACAAATCCTCCTTATATTTTGTTTTCAATTTCTATATTTTTAGCACTCTTAGATTTTCATTATTTTCTAAATAAATAATGTAACAGACTTTTCATGGTCATTGGTGCATCAGGCATATTGGTGCTAAACCCATATCTTTACAGACTGAATGGTACTTGATGAATTATGTGGTCTAAATAGGAACCAACTCCCTGGTGAAAGAGTATACAAACCATTATGCTGCAGTGAACAATGCTAACAGGCACACACAGAAAACAGTAAATATAATTTAACACTAATTACCAGTCACTGGCATTTTCTTTTCTAGGTCAATAAGGTGAAAGAGTTTAGCAGCCAATGTATAAGTCAAAGTATTGTTTTTTTAAGTTATATTATATATATTACAAACCAGACGGTGATAAGGTATAAATGTTAGACAATCTTTCAGCATTCAGTTTTTTATTCTGGTTTTGGTTCTCATTTTTCACTCACATCTGAAATATAGTCTTGTTCCAGAACCTGAGTTTAGCATGCAGATTCATTTAACAGATCTGTCTATTTGCAAACATACAGATGCACTCCGACTTCGAAGGAAACAACCAATTAGTCATCTCCTATGACATGCTGGGAGAGGGGGGGGAGGGGGGGGGGGGGGGGGGTTAAATCTATTCCCTTCCCTCATAAATGAGCCTGAAAACCCATACAGTGACTGGAGAAGATAGGCTAATAATATAAGACTGAGTCAAAAAGGTGTACTGTCTTTGAACCCTGTGCGGGTTTACAGACCCCTTTTGGGAGGGGGGGGGGTGGGTGGGGGGGGGGGGGGGAAGTACAGACTAGCTGCTCCTTAACATGCATGTCATAAAAGGCAACTTATTAAGGGTTTGCCGAAACCAAATGTGTTGGGATGAAAGTTGCAGATATTGTAGCCTAGCAGTAAACCACAACGCAGCAAGCCAACTACCCTTTTATTGGCAGAATAAAGATGAACTACCCAATGAACCTATGGTGAATTTCATGCTACTGAAAGTATTAAAACATTTGAAATTGCTTTTAACCGACCTTTACTTTCGCAGACCGATAGTATCGCTGGATCTGAAAGTGAAAGATCCTTCACCGGTGTCACAGGCACACGCATTGCAGCTTGATCAGTTGATGGAGATACTGATGTTAGATTTTCTTGATCATACACCCCTTGGGAACCTGACAGCGAAGATGCCTTTGTCGGTGTTCCTGAGAACGAAGGTTGTGTTGTAGTATCTGATAGTAAATATGACATTACTGTGACCCTGCTATTCCTGGCTGAATTATCCTTTGATTCTGAATTTTGACGACTCCTGAAAAAAAAAATCATTTAGCAAAAATTAAGTCTCACAATGCAAAATTGAGACATAGAAACTACATAAAGAGAGATAAATGGGAGTAGATCAGGAAGCAGAATAAAAAGTCATATGCTGGCAAACCTACATACATATGAAGTTAGCAGCTGGAAAGAGAATGTTAGTCACAGATGAATGGAGGTGGGTGATATCTGCAGCAATGAACCTCAAGGTCTTGAAACACTTCAGGAGATCTAAAATATTGAGTGCTGTGACTCTGGGTGCGAAACGATTAGAAATTATCCCAAATCACTTTAATGCTATTATAGTAGCATAATGGTTATATGCTTAGTTGCTGCCCCTCATGGTTGAGTTTGAATCCGGGGAGAAGGTTTTCATAACTGACCTTGGCACTCAGGTAAACCCAAACTAAATCAGCTAACAATAAATTTAATGGGAAGCAAAGGCAGCTGGTTCAAGTGTTGAAAACATCACACATCACGTCCTAATTGATATACATTCGTGGCAAAGTGGTCAAACTATGTGCCTCTCGCTCTGAAGGTCATGAGCTTGTTTTACAGCTGCGTCATTCAGTTCCTGAGTGCGGTTTTTTTAGACACCTGGGGATCGTGGCCTAAATTATGATGTTCATGCTATGTGTGACACAATGTGTGACACGCTTAGCAGGTGACTAGCTGTTCTGGGATTAAACCTTGTACAACAAAGATCTTGTTTTTAATCTTTACACTTTAACCTATCAAAGTGTGGGTCTAACACCATAATGTCTGACGCACAAACGACAAGAAATGGGTCCATTACTGTGCTATGACCAGGAGGTTAATTAACAGCTCCAGTCAATGCATTATGAATTCAAATTTACTTTGAATCTTTTTTTTCTCTTAGCCTTCACAGGCTGTAAACTCAGACGGAAAATTCTGGCTGTTCATCAAATTCTGGACTTTTGTCTCATTCCAGAACTTGAATATTGCATACCCATCTGTTTTACAGACCTGACTTATTTGTATGCAGACAGGGATCTTTGTCTCTCAGGCAGATGTACTCTGACTTAGAAGGAAACCCCTAATTAGTTGACTCTTACGATATGCTTGTTAGGGAGGCAGTGGGTCTGTTCTTGTTTTCCCCATAAAGGGACCCAGAAAACCCACAGGGAGATATTCTGAATCAACTAGTGAACAATTTTCAAAGGGTCACAGATTAGGCATATAGATAAACCTTACATATGGCGTTCCCAACACTAAAGTAATTTTACATGGGACAGTAATTTTCTAGAGTAATTTTTACGTTTTATTGTGTGCATTTCAACTCATGTAGCAGTAAACATAATATGAATGTGGAGTATTTACAACATACTGACTAAACATATTAGGCGTTGCAATGAAATGACTACATTTACTGAACTACTGTTGTTGAAAGAAAACTGACTAATAAAATATTATAACAATGTATAGATATCATGACAAGCCGCAAGTTGAACAGTTAAGAACTTTGGACTCAGTGCCGGAGACCCAGTTATGGTTGGGTATTTTTTTCTGTTGGGGGCAAAATAAACAAAAAAAAAAAAAATCATCTGCACTGTCCGTGGTGACAGCACTAGCCATGCGGTCCCAAATACTCAGGCTCACAGACCCCTACCCCTCATTACTAAAGTGATAAATAGAGGTAGTAATGGCAGTTACTAAAAAAACAACTGAATAAATTATGGAATTGTACAGATAGAATTACAAAGGTCAGATTTTTAAGAGCATGCATCTTTCCCATTGCAACATACGCCTGTGAGACCTGGACACTTACTAAACAAGTGAAACAGCGCATAAATGCATTTGAATATAAATGTTACAGACAGGTTCTAAGAATATCTTGGGTAAAGAAAAGAACAAATGCATCCATACTTCAAGAGCTGAATATTGAAGAGGGTTGGCTAGTAAAGACAATAAAACAAAGAAAATTGAAATATTTTGGTCACTTGAAACGTCATGGAAGTCTAGAGAGAACAATAATGGAGGGGTATATGCCTGGGAAGAGAGGAAGAGGAAGGCCAAGGAGAAGATGGGTGCAGGATGTGGCAGATGATCTCCAGATGGGTGTATCAGACGCAGGACATCTTGCTCAGGATAGGAAGGTTTTCCGGAGGGTTGTTATGGCAGCGAGGTTCCGCGAGGGACATGCTACTGAATGAATGAATGGCAGTTTATAGAAATCATAAAGTATGCTGAAAATATTTCATTGCCAGCTGACTAGTCACACAGGTACAATCATATGTTGTTTCCCCATAGCACTTCCAGCTATATCATCATTATCATCAAGTGCCTTGCTGATTGGAGTGGGCTATCATGTCTCTCCATGACATGCAATCAACAGTATGTATGAGTTCATGTGACAACAGACCCCCCCCCCCCCCCTCTCCCCCTCCTTCCCACACCGTGACACAAGGCTGTCTACTTATCTTGACAAATCTTTCCAGTGGTCACAACATGTTCCAGTTTTCTCTCTTCTCAAATCATGGCCAAAATATAACTGCTTTCTGATGTATGTGATAAGTTGTTTTTCAAGACAGCTGTGTATGATATTGATTGCTAAAAAAAATTTTTTTTGCATTGTTCTGTAAAACCACATCTCTGAGGTTTCAGGAAATTTATAGCTATAAACCTATTTATTCTTGTATGACAATTACTTATGCCATTTGTTCTCTATGCTGGTAGTGTTGTGTTTAGTCATCATCTAGTCCCTGCTTTATGTGTTTTAAGTACAGAGGCAAATGTGAATTTGGAAGAAAGAGAATGTGCTATCTGTACAGATAAGGTGACTTATGATTTTTTAATTCAATTATTCTTTATTGTGTGTTTGTGTAGTATTATCTAATTTGTGTATGTGCTGATGAAGGCTCCATAGCTACAATGTTCATGTTCTGTTCATGTTTGTTATATTGTGAAGCTATATTATGTAACCAAGACCAATCAACATAGAACCAAGCATTCAAATACTAAGCATACAGTGATTTAAAAGACGTTTTATAGACACCCTCCCCCACCCCCCACAAAAAATTGAAATATGAAGAGAATTTACAACAAACAAAAAATATCACTCATTCAAACTTCAGCTAATGACAAATTCTGAAATGAAAATTACTGCTGAAACTAAAGTCAAAAACTCTCACCTTTGTGCCGTGTTTGTAGCAGCAGTGTTACGGTATGAGTCTTGACGCTGCCGATTATGATCAAATGATCTCTCTTGTTCTAAGAAACAAATAAGGAGACTAAGTATTTCCGATAAATCCCTCCCCCCACACACACACACACACGCATGCACACGTGCGCGCCCACACACACACACATACATATATTCACAGATACATAAATCAAAACAATATTTTATTTGTGTATTTACCCTGTTACTTAAGTTGATCATGATTTTCACAATGCATAATTGAAATTTGTTTTTAAATATAAAACAAGTTTTCATATTTTTGCTGTTTTAAGGATAAATTATGGTAAATGAGTATCTTAAATTAGCTATATTTATATATAAACAATTTGTAATAACAAAATTATATCAAGGAAAATTGAAAACAACTGGTAGTAGTAGCTGGCTAAAAACACTGGCTTCCCATTCTTTAAGGGTTAAGGGCCAGTCTGAAAAATGTCATTCCAAAAGTTACAATCTTCTCTGCGGATGAAATGAGTTAACATTTACAAATATGTAATTTGAAAATTCCACCATTGTGGTTTTATAATATCTTTTAGCTATCCTCTGAAAAACGGTCCCAAATTATTAAGGCCGAAAATATACTCTAACAGGGCCTCAGTCACATGTAAATTGCGGATTTCCGGTGACTACCGCGGTGAGTATTTCCCAAGCCGCTATGCGTGGCGTGGAGCAGGGCTAAACTAGATGGCTGGGACTTACGAGCAAATAAAATGAAGGAAGCTGCAGGTGATGTGGTAGCTGCTGCTCGTGAGTCCCAGCCATCTAGTTTAGCCCCGCTAAAGGAGATAATTTCAGTGGTGGCGGTAGTCGCCGGAAGTCTGCAATTTAAGTTGCCAGGAGTCCGCAATTTACATGTGACTGAGGCCCTGTTAGGGTATATTATGGGCCTCAATTTGTTATCAAAATTAGGAGGATAGCCTATCTTTTTGATTCTTTACTTATAAATTACATATTTTCTTTCACATTTTTCATAAATATGAAGTACTGTTGAACCAAATCTCAGTGAAATTAAGTTTCACCCTCTCATATTTAAATATAAAAAAAAAAAAAAAGAATTATTTGCAGGGTTACACAATTTAAACTGCACACTGTCATGTTTAATATTTGATCTTCACGGCTAGTCTACTTGGTATATCTTTAGATCATTAATGTCAAGTATATTTATGAATTAAAAGGTTAATACTTAATTTAACCTACTATTATCTTCATTATCCATTACAATCAACAACTTACAGTTACACTGAAAACTAGCACTCAAAAGAAGAACAGGATGAGAATATAACTATTTTAAAACATTCCACTTCTGACTCCTCTTGGCTACACTGTTCACTTTTTAATGGCCACACTGTTCACCTATTCAAACTGTGTCACCTGTTACCTTTCTTTGGGTCATCTGTGGGTCAACTTCTGACTGAGTGAACACAGTTCACTGAATTCCAACATTTCACAGCTTTTGACAGGTCACCATAACACCACTCATGTGATTTCCCTAAGCATTAACTCTGGCAGTTTTTCCATGTAATTACAAAACTTTTTTTTTAAAAACAAAATATGCTTGATTAATGCATGATCAGAATAAGAAATAGTAAACAGAAAAGTTGAGCAGTAACTGTGTTAAGGCAGACAAAGGTTGCATGGGTCAGAGCAGATAGAGGTTGCATGGGTCTGAGCAGATGGAGGTTTTATAGGTCAAAGCATAGAGGGCATAGAGGTGTATGGGTCAGAGCAGAAAGAGGTTGTATGGTCAGAGCAGATAGAGGTTGCATGAGTCAATGCAGAAAGAGGCTGTATGGGTCAATCCATACAGAGGTTGTATGGGTCAGAACAGACAGTTGTATGGGTCAGAGCAGATAGAAGTATGGGTCAGAGCAGATAGAGGTTGTACAGGTCTGAGCAGTTAGAAGTTGTATGGGTCAGAGCAGATAGAGGTTGTATGAGTCAGAGCAGTTAGAAGTTGTATGGGTCAGAGCAGATAGAAGTTGTATGGGTCAGAGCAGATAGAGGTTGTACAGGTCTGAGCAGTTAGAAGTTGTATGGGTCAGAGCAGATAGAAGTTGTATGAGTCAGAGCAGTTAGAAGTTGTATGGGTCAGAGCAGATAGAGGTTGTACAGGTCTGAGCAGTTAGAAGTTGTATGGGTCAGAGCAGTCAGAAGTTGTATGGGTCAGAGCAGATAGAGGTTGTACAGGTCTGAGCAGTTAGAAGTTGTATGGGTCAGAGCAGCTAGAGGTTGAACGGGTCAGAGCAGATAGAAGTTGTAAAGGTCAGAGCAGACAGAGGCTGTATGGGTCAGAGGTGATAGAGGCTGTACGGGTCAAAGCAGTCAGAAGCTATGTGGGTCAGAACAGAGGTTCCATGAGTCAGAGTAAATAGAGGCTGTGTGTGTCTGAGCACAGAGGGGCTGGGTGGGTCACAGCAGATACAGGATGTATGGGTCACAGGTGACAGAGGCTGTATGGGTCAGAGTAGATAGTGGCTATATGGGTCAGATGGAACAGAAGCTGTAAAGGTCAGAGTAGAGGCTGTATGGATCAGAGCAGATAGAGACTGTTTTGGATCAGAGGTGATAGAGGTTGTATGGGTCAGAGGTGATAGAGGCTTATAGGTCAGAGCTGATGGAGGCTGTATGGGTCAGAGGTGATAGAGGCTTATAGGTCAGAGCTGATGGAGGCTGTATGGGTCAGAATTACAGCACGGATCAGAGCAGATAGATGCTGTATAGATTAGAGGGTCAATGCCATGTGTGGGATTAAATACACTAGAAGAAGTACATTAAAGGACCCTGTTTATGCTATGAAACATAGTGAGTATATATGGTATAAGCTCCCCGTGTGGGTTTGGGAGCCCTATTATAGGGAAAACAAGAACAGCCCCACTGCCTACCCAAAAAGCATGGTGTAAGAGTCGATTAACTGGGTCCTTCCTCGGAAGTTGGAGTGCATTGGCCTGAGAGGCAAGGAACCAACATACATATTACAAATACAAATTGTCAGATCTGTTAAACAGATGCACACACAACACTCAGGTTCTGGAACACGACTGCAGTCCAGAAGTGGACAAACAACCAGAACTTTCTACCAGAGTTTACAGCAGGTGAAGGCGAAGAAGATGGTATAAGCCATATATTTTTCTGCAAATCTACACCTGAGAGATGATAGGGATAAGATAACATTAGCCACCTTTGATTTCAAGGAAATGTCCTTATACCAATTTTAAAGTTGGCTTGACCGGTCGGCGCCTGTGGCTCAGGCCTTGCGAACACACTTCAAAATGTCAGGATGCCAGGCTCGATCTCAGCTACAGGTGATTTGGCAGCAGACCATCTTGCATTGGTTTCAACAGTGGTACAGAGAGCAGACCATTCAGCAAGCAATGGCAAAAAACTGAACGTAAATTTGCCTAGAAAAATTGCAAATGCCGAAAAATGCTGGGGTTGAGTCTGCAACATCGTGTAGAGGATACGCAACTAAGTGGTTTTTTTTTTTGGGGTGTGTCTTGGGAGTGAAGTCACTAGTGGGAAATCCCACTGAGGGAGACTAAAAATGCATGACCATTATTTATGTCATCATCATCATCATCCTATTGTGTCATTTATAAATCACATAGGGCTCACATTCTATTCCTCCATTCTACTCTACCTTGTGCAATGCTGGTGTATTGGAAAATGAGCAAGCAGATAGACTGGTTGGCTCTGCAGCACTCTGCGGTGAATTGATGTATGACAAGTTAGATATTGTGAGGGCCCCTTGGGAGTGAGTAAACAGTGAGGATTCGCAGATAGATCATTACGGTCTAAGGAGAATGGCGCTGAGAAGAGTTACCAGGAGATCTGGCCGACGCTTAACACTCAGGGGAAGGATGAGACGGATATACAATCAGACGGTTACTGGTACCATCTGAATTGGAACTCTTTGCCTGCTGCTGAAGATGGGGTCTGAGCACTTATGGGAGTGTCCAGAGTGCTGTCATGTCGAATCTTAATGTAAAATTCAACACTGGCCTCTCTCATTAACGCTTGTCTTAGGCTGTCTTTTAGACATCCTAATTTCCTCAATTTGATTCACATTTCAGTGTCTGATTGGTGATGAAAGTTAGGTCTGGTATTTGATCTTCAAAAGTACCGGGCTTATCATAAGCTGATAGATCTTTTCAGGATATTCCCAACTGACCTGTATTTTCTTCCTTTCATAAGTGTTGAAACCAATAACTCCCTAGACACTTTTCTTATCTCTTCGCCTTTCTTGAGTTCATTTAATTAGTGTTCATCAGTTTCTTCTGGCATTTATATAGGTAGAATGCATACATTTTATAATACAGCCTTATTATAGTTAAACAGGAATCTAACTATTTTCAACTGTTTTAACCTTTGTCCAAATTAGCTGAGCTCAAAAGCAAGACTGAAATAGACACTCAGAGACAGAAGTAGTTAACCTAATAATTCAGATGCAAAGGGTTAATATGATGTCCATATGTGATTTAGGAAAACAATAAGATCATTTTGACTTTGGAAAAACCAAGAAGTATATAGTGAGTCGTAGGGTAGTAATAGAGTTAAGAAATCACTTCTATCTTTTGCAAATTCTGCCCCAACACTTTGCAGCTAGTAGCCAGGTACAGTTTGAAATGAACACATCATGCTAAACAGTTTCAGATCAATGACAAAAGTCTAATTTTTTTCCTTCTACTTATTATCACTGGCTGTAAACTCTGGTAGAAGGTTCTGGTTGTTTGTCCACTTCTATCATCAAAAGATATAAAATCAAACGAAAAGTAGATTGGCGAGCTTCATAATATAACAAACACAAACGAAAAGTGAATGCTGCGGTTACAGAGCCTTCATCAGCACATAGATAAATCGAACAAATCCACACTAATACACAAAATTACTTAACTCACGTATCCCAAAGCAGCCACATTGATATCTAACCAGTGAAATTTAAAGATTTTTAGGGGGTGAAAGGGTAATGTCTTTAAAAAAAATGTAAAGGACCCTTTTCAGATTACTGGCACTTGTTCACATTTAGACTCTGGTCTTGTTCCAGGTCTTTAGTTTTGCAGACACATCCATTTTACAGATCTGGCGTATTTGTATGCAGACTGCTAGTTCCTCACCTCTCATACAAATGAACTTTGACTTCAAACGTAGCATCTCTAATTAGTTGCCTCCTATGACACTCTTATTAGAGGGCAGTGGATCTATTCTACTTCCACGCCCCGAAAATGAGGCACTGGAACTCATATACGGGCCAGTCTAGGATGGAAATTTGGCAACAAATGGCATCATTCTCAATAGATTCTTTGTCATGAATCTAGTTTGAAATGAATGGCATCCTGTTATACAGTTTCAGATCTATGACTTAAGTCTAGTTTGAAATGTTAATATTTCATACAGGTTTCAACGTAAAAAGAAAGTTGAACAAAATAATCTCACCTTCATATTTCCAGTTTCTTTTATCACTGTACTGATTCCTAAACAAACCAAAAGCAAGGAAATTAGAAGGATGAACAGAAATTTAGTTTGAAAAATAATATAAAAATTGTAATGCATTCATGGAAGAGACTAGGGTTTTCTCATAGTTAGGGCAAATACTCTGCAGCCAACCTCTGTTGTGGAAATTATACAATTTTAATGTTTATTGTAAAAATAATCATTGTCTCTTCCATAGATATATCATAAAATGTTTACTTTCTAAACTCCTCCTTTCACATCCAGACAATAAATAAACATACCATTTCTTAACCCTACCAGACCTAAGGCCCTGAACCTAACTGTCCCTATAACCTGAGCTCCTGGGCATTACAGCGAAAAAACCAACTTGATATACAAAAATATTAGTTACACGCAAACGAGTGGATAGAATATGATGAAACTTGGAGACATTGTAGAAAATAGGCTTACCTTTTATCTAGCGCCAATATTCCACCTTTGTGTGCGAATTCACTCATCAGGATCAACTTTGTTTCACAAAGTGAACACCAGATGTTGCCGTTTGATGGACACATCCCTCCTCCTACTATTGATCTATTTCAAGATTGATAATTTTCAAGATTTTCCTCATCATTTGCGCTCTCACTGACAGTGTCATTTCAAGAACGCATTATTTATGTGATTATCACAGATAATGAATATATATATTCGGAGAAGCCATTTGCAATCTCTAACAAAGCGGACTGACGACGATTCGTTGGTTATTTTTAGTCAGTGACGCATCTTTTTCACGCACTATGCAAAAAGCTTAAATTTAGGGCCAGCGGTATACAGAATAGTTATGAAATTCCCGGAAAAACGGGAGAGCGGTCTGGTAGGGTTAATCAAAACTTTACTTTTCCTGTGATAGTGCAGTGGCTAGATGCTTGCCTGCTGGACTAAAGGTCTTGGATTTGAATCCTCATATGGATGATTTTTATAAATGACCTTAAATCCCAGTCTGATATAGCCTAAACTGGGTAACAGTTAATATTCTAGGATATAAATCTGAATGTGACTAGCACAACAGTGACTACATCACCCATTCAGGTCCACCTGGTCTATTTAAAACAAACCAAAACCAAAAACAATTTAATTAATAAATACCAAATATCTGAAGCGCAAGTAGTCTGAAAAGGGTCCTTTACATGATTTTTTCTTTCTGAGGCATTACCCTTTCATCCCCTAAATTTTTTTTTTAAATATAACCTTTCTTCAGATCTGTGTTAAAAGGAAATGCCTCCTTATAATTCAGTTAAACTCTAACCTAAGAAACTAGACTAAAGGAAGAGGAGGTAGCAGAAGACATCTGGAGTACAGGAAAGTTTTTGTCCAAAATCCAGGGTGTCGAATCCTTAAACCATCTAGCAAGCAGGCAAGCGTGACATCCACAGCTACATCACAGCTGTCAAATCACTTATATAATTCATACTTATGTTTAGCGTTAATTTTATTCATTCAAACATTTTCTTTTAAATTATTAAATACAAATGAAGCAAAAAAATTAACTGCTTTCCTTCCCTTTGACCAAAATAACCGTGTTTTTTTTTTTTTTAATTTAGCCATGGGAGGCAAAATGATATCATATTAGAATATTATCAAGTAACCATGATGTCATAATGTTTAAAAATGCAATTTTTTTGGGCATATGTATAGTCACACCCATCGTGTTTATACAGCCTGCAGTTACATCCAGCACCAACAGATACATTAAAGTGTTAGTTTACTAACAAGTAGTATACATTCTCTACCTGTTGTTATAGCTTTCGTTAGATGCTCTATCGTTCCCTTTGAATCCTGATAGGAAATAAAAAGATATATGAAATAAGTAATCACGAGAACAATTACTACCTCTGAAAGTAAGCAAAAGACCAATGTCTACATCTTCAGGTCTATTAGGCATATGGTGCTAGCCCAATATTTGTATAGACCAATCAACCCTCAGTTGGTGAATAGGTCATATATCTTATCAGCTGTCTTTATTACCAGGACACTGTTTTAGTACTCTATAAATTCCAGTTGTTCATTCTTGTCTCACTTGACAAACTGAGGATTGGTAATAATGTAGCTTTATCCTGCCAAGCAAGCAAGACACTCACTGCAACCACTCCAAGAAAAGCAAGTCAAAAGAGGTGTGGCCAGGCAGGAGCACTAAGCAGGAGCCAAAGACAAATAGTAAACCAGCACAGAATGTGTGTCGCCAGTTGCTACATACCCTGAGATTTAATGAGGAAGGCATCTGGGCACTCATGGACTGAATGATTTGGTGGGCACTGAAGGTGATCTGTTGACTATAACTCTTGAGAGTTCTTCAAGTGGTTAATTGCAATATATGGGTGATGACCGAACGGTTAGAACGCCTGGCTCTCAAGTGGGAGAACCAGTTTGGAATCCTTGGTAAGGCTGGGAATTTTTTGTCAGAGGCAAAATAAAATCCTCACCTGCACAGTGGTAGCGACAGCACTAGCCATGCCGCCGTAAATCCTCAGACTCAAAGACCCCTCCTGCTACACCTCAAAAGAGGTATAATAAGGCAGTAATTGGCAGACTATCTAACATTACTGTGGTGACTCTTTTGCAACCCTGAAGCGATGGAAAGTTTGCAGTCCTTAGTGAGCTTCATGACAGTGGAGAGAATTGTTGATTTCTCATTTATTAACCTGAATAGTGACTGCTCAGGATGCCCTCACCTTGTGAGGAAGTCTTGGTCAATGACTTCCCTGCTGTTCAAAAGATTAGGCTTCATCATGTGTGATGATTCACAGCTGAAAGACTTCACCCACAGAATAAACAATGCTCTTCTTCTTGTGCCCTGTATTCGGTTTTAATGTCAAATCAGTACTGTTGTATGGTTAAAACATAAAGGACAACTAAAAAAAAATGACTAATAAAATACAAAGTTTCATTAACACATGTGTAGAACACAGGGAATTAAATGGTATAAGAGAATCACTAATAGTAAGCTTATAAACCCAAGATGTTCAGGCCAGCAGGCATAGGTCTAGCCACTGTGTAACAGCTCTTATTCTTCTTCTTCTTTACTTCCTATTTGACCACTTGGGGTGTCGAGGAAGATACAAGGTCCTGCTTCTTGTTCTTCGGGTCACCTCGACCACAGACCCATCATGCTGTTGTAGATGTTATCTTTCCATCTTGTTCTTGGTCTACCTGATGCTCTTCGTCCATCACCTGTACTTTATTACTGCAGTAAATACATAATAACATACTTTGTTCACATTCATCTGACTGTAACATGACGTATATTTAATAAACAGATTTAGAAGCAGACTATCTCAAATTCAGCACAAATACTACTAAATAAATATTGTCAACAATTCATCTCACCTTTTTTAATTCCTCCACCTTTGCCAGCTTTAGACCAGTTTTGATTGTTACTGTTCCAACGAGGGGACAAAGATAACAAGTTTCTATTTTTTAAATAATGTTACATGTGTCACAAATTAAGCAAGTGTTATGTTTATCTAAGTAGGCTGTCTTTATCACATTGTGAATCACAGATCAGGTCAGTGTTCTTGTCAATCCATATCTCTATTTGCGTTTAAATCCTTAAACCTTATCCTTCTCTTTTGCGAGTAAATGTTTTTACCAACCATATTTCTTTTGCGAGTAAATGTTTAAACACATATCTCTTTTGCGAGTAAATGTTTAAACCATATCTCTTTTGCGAGTAAATGTTTGAACCATATCTCTTTTGCGAGTAAATGTTTGAACCATATCTCTTTTGCGAGTAAATGTTTAAACCATAGCTTTGTTGCGAGTAAATGTTTAAACCATATCTCTTTTGCGAGTAAATGTTTAAACCATATCTCTTTTGCGAGTAAATGTTTGAACCATATCTCTTTTGCGAGTAAATGTTTGAACCATATCTCTTTTGCGAGTAAATGTTTAAACCATAGCTTTGTTGCGGGTAAATGTTTAAACCATATCTCTTTTGCGAGTAAATGTTTAAACCATATCTCTGTTGCGAGTAAATGTTTAAACCATATCTCTTTTGCGAGTAAATGTTTAAACCATAGCTTTGTTGCGAGTAAATGTTTAAACCATATCTCTTTTGCGAGTAAATGTTTAAACCATATCTCTTTTGCGAGTAAATGTTTGAACCATATCTCTTTTGCGAGTAAATGTTTGAACCATATCTCTTTTGCGAGTAAATGTTTAAACCATAGCTTTGTTGCGAGTAAATGTTTAAACCATATCTCTGTTGCGAGTAAATGTTTAAACCATATCTCTTTTGCGAGTAAATGTTTAAACCATATCTCTGTTGCGAGTAAATGTTTAAACCATATCTCTTTTGAGAGTAAATGTTTAAACCATAGCTTTGTTGCGAGTAAATGTTTAAACCATATCTCTTTTGCGAGTAAATGTTTAAACCATATCTCTTTTGCGAGTAAATGTTTAAGCCATATCTTTGTTGCGAGTAAATGTTTAAACCATATCTTTGTTGCGAGTAAATGTTTAAACCATATCTCTGTTGCGAGTAAATGTTTAAACCATATCTCTGTTGCGAGTAAATGTTTAAACCATATCTCTTTTGCGAGTAAATGTTTAAACCATATCTCTTTTGCGAGTAAATGTTTAAACCATATCTCTTTTGCGAGTAAATGTTTAAACCATATTTCTTTTGCGAGTAAATGTTTAAACCATAGCTTTGTTGCGAGTAAATGTTTAAACCATATCTCTTTTGCGAGTAAATGTTTAAACCATATCTCTTTTGCGAGTAAATGTTTAAACCATATCTTTGTTGCGAGTAAATGTTTAAACCATATCTTTGTTGCGAGTAAATGTTTAAACCATATCTCTGTTGCGAGTAAATGTTTAAACCATATCTCTGTTGCGAGTAAATGTTTAAACCATATCTCTGTTGCGAGTAAATGTTTAAACCATATCTCTTTTGCAAGCAAATGTTTAAACCATATCTCTTTTGCGAGTAAATGTTTAAACCATATCTTTGTTGCGAGTAAATGTTTAAACCATATCTCTGTTGCGAGTAAATGTTTAAACCATATCTCTGTTGCGAGTAAATGTTTAAACCATATCTTTGTTGCGAGTAAATGTTTAAACCATATCTTTGTTGCGAGTAAATGTTTAAACCATATCTCCATTGCGAGTAAATGTTTAAACCATATCTCTGTTGCGAGTAAATGTTTAAACCATATCTCTGTTGCGAGTAAATGTTTAAACCATATCTTTGTTGCGAGTAAATCTTTAAACCATATCTTTGTTGCGAGTAAATGTTTAAACCATATCTCCAAGAATAGACCCACTGCCTCCCCAACAAGCATGTCACAAGAGTCAACTAACTGGGAGTTTCCTTTGAAGTCACAGTGCATCTGCCTGAGAGGCAAGGAACTAACAATCTGCATATAAATAAGTCAGATATGTAAAACGCATGTGCACACAACAATTAGGTTCTGGAACAGGACTAGAGTTCAGACGTGGACAAACAACCAGCACTCTCCGCAGGAGTCTAAAGCTGGTGAACGCAAAGAAGAAGAAGTAGCAGATAGTTTCATTTTCATGTCTCATACTTCCCCAAGTCAAGATAGCCTATATTTCAGTACATTTGTAAATAATTTTTTTGGGGTTGTTGTTGCTCTTCTGTCTTTAACTCATTCAGTACCAAACAAATCAACACATGTCTCTGGGTTATGCTGACATACACTTTTTTTAAAGGATTTTCAGCTAAAAGGGAGGAGTAGGCATGACAGAATGTTATGCTTCGAAGTAATTTTTGCTTCCGACAGCACTTTGCTAATGCAGTTTCCTTATATGGATGGTAGTCTGCCTGAGCTGCTGACTTTAGTGCTCGGTGTAGCCTCGTGACCTGTGTTTTTCATGTGGAATGTTTTTCATTTGTGCAGCGGTTGTGTCATGGTATTCAATATGGCTGGTAGCCAGTTTACATGTGAACTGATGAAATGTCTTATGCAACAATTCAACATGTGTATAGACAACTTATCATGCCTGACTACTTCCATCTGTGTTTCTGCTGGCAACTGTTGGCTTTGGCGCCTCTAGAAACTGCCATATGCATTTACTGTGTGCGCATATTTCTAGACTGTTCTGGGATTTTGTTCACCAGTTTTTCAAATGAGACAGTGAGGGACATTTTATTTGATTTGCCCTGGCACAGGAACGGAGCTAGTAGGGAAAAACCTGATTGCAGTGAAGATGAAACCTCGACTCAAGCCACATCCAGTTGTTTTACTAAACCATACTGTTACAACTGTTATTTAAATCCTTTTCTCTCAAAGTGCTATTTGGTTTAGCCATTCTGATCCAAACGTTTGTCATTAAAAGTCACTACTTTCTAGAACAGTAAGGGCTCAACTATATCTGCCTGGTAGTGAAAAAGTTAGCTATATGCACGTGCAAGCAAACACACATATACTGAGTTTGACACTTGAATTATGAGACTGATTTTATTATGGCCAAAATCAAAATGCCATCCATGAAGCAAAGCATGTGATTTTGGGGGAAAAGGAACAAACTCACTGCCCTCTAACTAGCATGTCTAAAAAATGCAACTAATTAGGATTTTGCTGAAATCCAACCAACCAACAAACCAATCACCCAACCAACTGATTCAAAACAGTTGAATATCAATGGTAAATTATCCGTACCTGGATCTCCCTGCATTATCAGAGAACTTGCGGTTTTGCTGGTAATTTGTACCTGCATAAAAAACAAATGAAAAGTAACATGTTAACATAACATTAAGGGGTGAAAAATAGACAATACAATTAGAGGCCGTTACATCTAAAAATATGGCATTATTTTTTTAAAAAGTACCATTCAACAAAGGCTGGTATATGATATCACATCTAGTTAGAGAACTGACACAGAAACAGTCACTGCAGCCTTATGTTAGCTTAAAAACAAACTGCACACATATATTGTGATTGTAACTGATTCAATGAGCAATGCTGAGAATAGTGAAGACAGGTAAACTCTGCAAAGTGACAAGCATCACTTTAGAGGTCCAGATAGTTAGCATCCTTGGGATATTTTCTTTAGGTCATGCAGGTGTACTGGGAAATCAATAAGCAGACAGAGTGGCTCATTCTGAACCACAAGGTGGTAAAATAATGCATGATAAGCTAGATGCTAAAAGTTTTCTTTGAGGGGGAGAGTGAGTGAACAGTGCAGCAGAACAATCAGATCCTCAGGGTCTAAAGAGAATGATGTTACAGCAAGTGACCAGGGGGTCTGGAAGACACTCCACAGCCAAAGAAAAGGCAGGAGGGACATAAATAAAACTGCTACTGGTACCATCAGTGTTGAAACACTTTACTGGCTGCTGAAGATGAGGACAGAGCATTTATGTGAATGTCCTGAGTGTTATGATGTGGCAGCTTGAAACACAACTCAATGTTCAAAGATTAATAAGTAAAGTAAGGAAGGAGTGACAGGAAAGAGAAGGCTAATCACAGAGATGAATAAACAGCTGGAATGCTGAACAGAAAGTAAGTAAAGGACTATTCTCATTCTAGTGGCACATCAGGAAAATAATGCTAGGCCTATATTTTATAGACCAATCAGTACTGTATAGGTGTTGCAGTCAGCATTGTGCCAGCCACTTTTTATTTCCCAGGATATTGCTAGTAACCATTTTAGGCCAGGTCATTGTGAGAGTCCATGCTATTTATATTATCATCATCATCAGGTGCCTTGCCGACTGGTGTGGGCGATCATGCCTCTCCACAATCTGCGATCTCCTGCAGCATGTATCAGTTTGTGTGCTGACACACCTCAATGCCATGCAACAAGTCTGTCGAGAATCTTCTCTCGTTGTCTTCCTCTATCCCTCCTTCCACAGATCTTTCCATTGGTCACAACATGTTCCATTTTCCTTCTTCTCATAACATGACCGAAAAATGATGACTGTCTCCTTCTGATGTCTGTGATAAATTGTCTTCGAGCTCCCGCCTCTTTCAAAACCTCTTTGTTGCTCTTTTTGGCTGTCCAAGGTATTTTAAGCATTCTTTTGAAAAACCACATCTCTGAGGCCTCAAGAAATTGTTTGGCCTGCCTACCGATTGCCATTTATATATATATATTTTTTTTAAATTGCCCTGATGCGGATTCAAATCCAAGACCTTAGGGTCGGCAGACAATCTTTTAGTTACTGCGCTTTCGCAGCATCCACATTTAATGCACCAGGAAAACAAAAATTGTACCAAATGCCAACTAACAACTTTACAAATTTGTGAAGCAAATGTCTACAGAGAATGTGCCATAGAATACAAACATAAAAAAATGCCATTTTAATCTATGATTTATTGCAAGAAGCCTACAACAAGAGAAAATAGATGGCTCTAGAGAACTATAGGGAAGGATTTAACAGTACATCACAAGAACAGAAGTTAGCTAATTAAGGTGTTTAAATGTCTTAGAATTTTAGTATCCAGGATTACTTTAAATATCCACAAAGACAGACTACACTATATAATTACTATAATTGTTTGAAAGTACACTTAAAATATATTGAACTTCTTCTTTGTTCACCGGCTGTAAGCTCCGACAGAAAGCATTGGTTGTTCGTCCATTTGGACTTTTGCTTTGTGCCAGGGCCTGAATTTTGAGTGTACATCTATTTTACTGGCTTATTTGTGTACAGTTGGTTGTTTCTTGGCACTCAGGCAGATGTACTCCGACTTAGAAGGAGGTGCCCAGTTAGTCGATTCATACGACATGCTTACTGGGAAGACAGTGGGTCTATTCTTGTCTTCTCTCACAATGGGTCCCAGCACCCACATGGGGGAAAATATACTGAACATGACACACTATATTCCTACAATTTTGTACAATTATTAAATTATCTATGCAATGTTGGATAACCAAACATGACTGATAAGCATAAATGTCCATTTCTGAAATAGAAAAAAAAAACACCATATATTCCAATTATAACCCAGATGGGTTTAACAGGATAATGTTGTTTAAATGACTACTACTACTAAAATGCCATTTATCTGTCAATATATTACAGATAGCAAGTAGAACAGTCAATAGCACAATTGCAAACACAAGCTACGCAGGCACACACACAGAGACACACACACACACACTGACACACAGACAGACACACACACACACAGTCACACATGCAGATGCACACACACAGATGCACAGACAGACACACACACATACACACTAACACACACATACAAACACATATGTATACTTATACATACATAAACTCTCACTCATATACGCTGTCAAATATACCCATACACACACAAACACCTAAACATACAAAAACAACCATATATACACAATCACCCAAAAATACACAATTAACCATGCACACACTCATACATACACAAACACACACATACATACATTTCATACACACCTTTTCTGATTATAATATGATAATGCAGTATAGATTATTAACTACATCTAAGGTGGCATATCACTTGTAAGTTTGAAAAGAAAAAGTTTGTGGTTATGATTTGATTTGATTTGATTCAAAAACCAACATCGCAGCTTTTGGGGCATTCCAATAAGCGCTCCGTCCCCATCTTCAGCAGCCAGCGAAGAGTTCCGATACTAATGGTGCCAGTAGCATTCTGATTAAACGACCGTCTTGCCTTTCCTCTGAGCCTTGAGCATCTGCCAGAACCTCTCGTCACTCCAAACTGCATCAGTCTCACCACACTGTGGTGATCAATCTGCTCCTCCGCACTGTACATGCTCTCCCTCAAGGCACTAACCACGTCTGCCTTATCATGCATCAGTATTCCACCAAGCTGTGCAGAGCCAGCCAGTCTGTCCGCATGTTCATTTCCCAACACACCGGCATGCCCTGATGAAAAAATCCAGACAATACTCCTCACCCGTGTCTTCCGTAACGAGGCATGCCACTCTGCACGAAGCATGCCTGACCTGATTTTCCTCAGCATGCTTTCTGAGTCAATTACAATCACGATATGTGTGTGTGCAGTGTTCTCTAGCTAGCGGAAAGCTGCAGTAACAGCCTCCACCTCCATTCTTAAGCTGGATGTTGTGGTATCATATGCTAGGCTCTCCGGCACCAAATGTTGACCATTAACTTTTGCTAAGAACCCCCAAGCACTTCTTTTGCCTCTTGACACTAAACGTCTTTGTAAATGATCAAATTTTCTGAGCGAGCATTATCTTGAATTAAATGCTGAATTTACACCTTTGTGGCACCTGCTGGCCAGTCTCTGCATTCCCGGCTCAGTGTAATTACGACCCTACACAAGTCTGACTGTTCAGGCGGCACTTTGACCCACTCCTCTCCTCGCCTAATGTTCTCAAGGATGCAAACCTGTTTGCGGTTTGCAGTTTGTGGTTAAATAAATAGGAACTCTTTATAATTTTCAGATCAAGTGGAAGCCGATACCCTAAATGAGCAGCAGAATATGCTAAACTTGTTTTATATACGTCTACTGCAGGTTTAGGCAAATGTAATAAACTTAGTCACTTGCTGTTCGTAGGACCAGATTCAATCAACTGGAAAAGGTCATTTGGAGTATTTTGAGATAAAATTTTATGAACAAATTTGGCCTTGTTAAAAATTAAACGTTCACTAAATGGCAGAAGATTTAGATGGCTATAGAGTTTAATTTTATCAATATGTTTTCTATCTTAAACCAGGCGTAAAGCGTGATTCTGAAGGGAACTTAGTCTTTTGACATTAGATTTGGTGCAGCCATCCCAAACTGGAAAAGTAGTCAGCAGGTGTTTAGATGTAGGATGCGTAAAATAGTTTTCGTGTATCTTCACCCAGAAAGTGCTGAATTTTGGCAAGCTGATAAAGCTTTTGTGCTATTTTCTTAGTTGTGTCACAAACATGATAATTCCAAGTTAAATGATTGTCAATTGTAAGCCCAAATGTTTTATTTTTGGTTACATTAACAATAGGTCATTTATCAATGTAGAGCTTCAGTGGTGGCTTGTGCAATACTAATGTTTGTAACTTTTAGATTTATGTACATTTGCAATTAGGTTAACTTTAATGTACATCTGCCAGTAAGTTAAATGTAACAAATCAATCTCACCCTGATTTCCAGAAGCTCCACCTCTGTTATTTGGCTGTCTAACAAAAACAAATCCAAAAATGTAAAAGAACTGGTAATTATCAAAGAGGTTACAGATGAACACACATATCATAATTTAGATGAGGGGATGTAGTAGTGTTAATCACATCAATTTTCCCTCCAAAATGTATATGTTTCAAGTAACATTGTTTAAATGCTGAATCCATATAGAATTTTTCTTACTAAGTTCTGTTTATTCTGATGATATATTCATACTTTAATTTTTTCACATAATCATCAAACTTCTTCTTCTTGGTTTACCATCTGTGAATTCCGGCGGAAGGTCCCAGTAGTTTGTCCATTTGGACGTTTGGGTTTTATCTGGATCTGAGTTTTGCGTGTACAATCATCAAACTGAAAATTAACTACTTTCTACTTATAATCATGTGTTATGCTATTACACATATGCTTTCATGCTTTGCCCTCTCACACGCTCACCAAAATTATGGAACTGGTCAGTGTTTTTGTCCTGCCTCATTCATCTGGCTAAGCCATGCAGGTATTTATTTCTTCACCTTTACATTGCTCTTTTTCCATCAATTTTGCCAGTTGTTACTAAGTTTTTAAGTCCATTCCTTCTCATAACATGACCCAGAAACAATTACT